TAAAAATTAAAAAACAATATTTCTTATTTCTTTTGATTGGTAATTTATTATTACTGTAATGTCCTGCTTCTTGGAGTGATTTACGGCTCACCAACACCACAACACTTGTACAAACGTCCTACACACCACCGCTCCGTTCGGATGTCGGATTACGACTGACTGTCTGACAAGTGACGTAGGCGCATGAGACAACCAAGTAACACTTTATTTAGTCAATACACTACAACCCTTTTTTGTTTTATTTGTTTTTATTGATTATATCTTTCTGATTACTCATTAATGTAACTTGGATGTAATGTGATGGATTTTACATGAATCAAACATAATTAATGAAATTAAAGTTTTATGCAGCTACACTAGGGTTAAGTTCCGACATTGATTTCCTCGTCGTTAATGTCTCCTGGTATTAAATCACACTATCCAGCCTTCCGTTTATCGTATCCGATTTCTTTTCCAATTTTTTTTTTTTTTTTCTCTATCCTTAACCTTAGTGTCTTGTGCTGTCCTCTCTATTGTATCGTTTACCATAGGTAATTTATCTCTAAACTTCCTTTTGAAGAAAAGTTCTGATGAGGTTCTTCCAGTAACAGACTGTGTTGTACACCACTTGTAATGAATTGCGATATCAATCCAAAGCACTTCTGGAAACTCACGCCGTTTTATAGGGTTTTGTGGACATGGTGCAGATACTAGAGTACATCTTTTACAGGCTTTAACAATTTTATCAGCCTCTGTCGCATCTAGGCCACCAGACTTTCGTACGAAGTCTCGCCTTTATTGACACGATACCGGGATGTCCCTCGTGAGCTGCATCCAATACTCTTTTACGGAGTGCGGAGGGAACCACAATTCTCATTCCTCTCAATAATATACCCTCATGAAAACAAAGTTCATTTTGTAAGATTTTATACAACTTCACATCGTCGTTCCATATGTTTCGATATAAACCCTCTTTCACGATTAATATTTTCCTATCGTCCATTGTGCTGTCTATTATTTCTTTAATAGAAACAGCACGAGGTCGGGCAAACTCTACAATATGACAAATGTGATTGTCTTCCAATTTTATCAGGGATTTCTCCGCATTTTTGCTTATTTGTTGTCTCGACAATGAGTCGGCAATATTGGTTTTCCCTGGTTGGTAAACTATTTTATAGTCGTACGATTGTAAGCGCATAACCCATCTCTCTATCCCTGCACATGGTTTAGATTTAGGACCAAATATTACCTCCAACGGCTTGTGTTCTCTTATAAGTTCAAATCTTTTACTATAAAGGAATATGTGGAAATGTTCCACCGCCCACACGAGAATTAACGCTTCTTTTTCTGTCTGGGAATAGCGGCGTTCACAGTCAGTCAGAGTTTTGTGGCCATATGCAATAATCCTGGGCTCACCTTTGGAATTAGTTTGAACTAAAACTCCACCTAAATCAACAGGACTAGCATCTGCTATGACAATCGTACGATCGCTAACATTATAATACCCTAAGCTAGGAATATTTTTCATGATTTCCTTCAACGACTTAAAATACCCCTTTTGTTCTGGTCCCCAGTTTTCGGTTACATGATATGACAAACATGAGTCTCTTGTATCTTAATAAGCCTTTACTGGTTATAAAGGTGGTTGTTTCTTGAAGCAGGATCTATGTATTTAAGTTGGTGAAATGCATCTTTAATATCCAATATTGTAAATACTTTTGCATTTTTCATTTTAGGTAGCAACTTGTCCATCGTCGGCAATGGGTAATTTTCTCGTACAATGGCTCCCATCGTGCACCCATTGAGGTAGATTTACCGTTACAGTCGAACTTTTCCAGTAAAGGAGTGACATCTTTGGGGCGACCAGGAATTTATCAATTTAATGATTCAGATATCTATGTATCTGCAGTTAGATTTGATCTCAGATGCTTCCATCTCGTATCAATTTAATGATCGGATAATATTTTTATCCGCATTAAGCTACTTAAGCCGTCCATACCAACAAACGTATAAATTTAATTATCAGATTTTGAATCTGCTAAGCTTGTAGATTTTATCTTAGATGATCTTGTGTGAATTTAATGATCGGATTATATTTTTATCCGCATAAATCTACTTAAACTGTTCATACCAACAAACGTATAAATTGAATTATCAGATTTTTAATCTGCTATGTTAGTACCCACTAACGTACAATAATAATTTTATTGTAAAGCTTTTATTTTATTTATTGGTATCAATTTAATGATCAGAATTTTAATCTGCTTTTATTTTTATTTACTGATATTAATTTAATGATCAGACGTTTAATCTGCTTTTGTTTTTATTTACTGGTATCAATTTAATGGTCAGACTTTTAATCTGCTTTTATTTTTATTTACTGGTATCAATTTAATGATCAGACTTTTAGTCTGCTTTTATTTTTATTTACTGGTATCAATTTAATGATCAGACTTTTAGTCTGCTTTTATTTTTATTTACTGGCATCAATTTAATGATCAGACTTTTAGTCTGCTTTTATTTTGATTTACAGGTATCAATTTAATGATCAGACTTTTAGTCTGCTTTTATTTTTATTTACTGGTATCAATTTAATGATCAGACTTTTAGTCTGCTTTTATTTCTATTTACTGGCATCAATTTAATGATCAGACTTTTAGTCTGCTTTTATTTTTATTTACTGGCATCAATTTAATGATCAGACTTTTAGTCTGCTTTTATTTTTATTTACAGATATCAATTTAATGATCAGACTTTTAGTCTGCTTTTATTTTTATTTACAGGTATCAATTTAATGATCAGACTTTTAGTCTGCTTTTATTTTTATTTACTGGTATCAATTTAATGATCAGACTTTTAGTCTGCTTTTATTTCTATTTACTGGCATCAATTTAATGATCAGACTTTTAGTCTGCTTTTATTTTTATTTACTGACATCAATTTAATGATCAGACTTTTAGTCTGCTTTTATTTTTTATTTACAGGTATCAATTTAATGATCAGTTGGGTTCCAACTGCTTTGAGTAGATACTCCCTTTTGTTTTACAGTATTCATCACAACCACATAGTTTTAATTAATTTAGTGAACCAGATCCAATTTAGGGTCTTTGTTAAATCTGCGTTAGTTAGGTAGACAGGTACCTACCGATTTAATGGTCAACGGTTGTAAATAAACCTTGCTATTATAATTTTTTTTTTTTTTTGTAGACAAATAGAAACATCACTAAACACAAGCATAATCTTAGTATATATAAATTACTGGTCACATTGTTTGTCCGCTATGGACTCCTAAACTACCGAACCGATATCAATCAAATTTGCACACCGTGTGCAGTTTGATCTAACTTAAAATATAGGATACATCTCAATTTATACCCGCAATATTATTTTATTGCAAAATATTTGTTTCTTATTTAATAGTCACCATTCTAACAGATGGCGCTGTGTTAAAAGTACCAACGTTTCATATAATTCTTTCAACGTTTCTACAATTTAATGGAATAACCACCATAAAGCATGGGGGTCCCCATGACTGGTGTTTTCCTACCGTTTCCCTTGAATAGTTTACTACTTTGTAATATAACAAAAACCTTAGCCACAGCAACGCTTGGCCGGTCTACTAGTACAATATATTTCTATCACTATGTAGGTAGGTGCTACAAAACAATCGTACATTCAATGTAGGTACCCGTAGTTTAGATTAGCAGAACCTATAGGTAATTATTTGTTTATATCCTTAGCCCTTAGCAGAGGTTTGTTGCTTACTGTTTAAATGTAGGTACGACAATATTAAATATTGTAATACAAGCAAAACATTTATGAAATATGAAAACAATAAGTACCTAAGTGCTGTTCATAATTCCCGTCAACAATAAAATTATCTACATTTGTTCAGAAGCCAAGATGCAACTGTTTCTGCTATCAATAGCTAATGATTAAAACAACCGGGTCATAGTAAATTATAGGCAAAGTACTCTGGGAATGACGTCACTTGTTTAGTGCACCGTATCTTTTCCCTTTTTTTTTTTTACTTATGTGTACTCACTTTTTTCCTCGTCGCCACATGTAATGTCCTGCTTCTTGGAGTGATTTACGGCTCACCAACACCACAACACTTGTACAAACGTCCTACACACCACCGCTCCGTTCGGATGTCGGATTACGACTGACTGTCTGACAAGTGACGTAGGCGCATGAGACAACCAAGTAACACTTTATTTAGTCAATACACTACAATTACCGAGAGAATTACAGTCAAATCTGTTATAACGACATCAAAGGTTTCCCTTTGATTTGGTCATAACAACCAATAGTCGTAACAGCCGATGACGTTGTTATTAAGTACCTAATACAATAGAATTCAGCCGGGACATTTGATTTTGGTCAATATAACCGGTATGTTGTTCAAAACGATGTCGTCGTTAATGGTTTTGACTGTTATTGTATTAAACAACAATTATTTTATTTATATTCGGGATATGAATATATATTAAACTACCTTTAAAGTAGGTAACTGCGATAGTTACTGTCTTTTTAATCTTGTCTACCGGATGTTCGCTGATCAACCAGACCATCCAGATCGATCTTAGACAGTTCGTCTCTTATTATATTTGTATGTATGGTCAAGCGTACGTCTAATACTTAACTTCCTCCTTCGGATTTTCGAAATCGGTAAACTAATATTTTATTGCTTTACAGACAGATTCGTAACTTAGCGCCAAGTACTCTCGGGTGTAAAACGTATTTTCTTTGACAAACGGGAGCCATACTTAACCCTCAGTCTAAACTCTGAACCTTAACCTAACTGTCATTGAGCAACTGGGACGTACCAAATACTTGTTGCCGGTAAGACGCTGGAATGCGCGGGCAAGTTGCCGGCCTAATTATTTATCTATTATGATGGACTATTATACTAGAAAACGTTAATATTTATCACTGTTTAGGCGATTCCGTGCTGAGTTTTAGGTCTCTATTGAGATAAATAAAGACTGTTCACGACGCTTTCCAAGTATGGGTGAGGAATGATGTTTTTGATATTACTAAGTTATTCTACACGACATTTTACTGCGGAAGCACATGTTTATTTCGCAAATATAAAAAAAAGGGTGAGTGTACTTATGTACGCGCGTAAGAAGTTATACTTCTTTGGCATTATTAAAAATAGTTTTTGATTGCATGCAAATAATTAATTACAATTAAATAATCAAAGACTGGAAAAGGAGTCATTATAGTCAATAAAGTTCAGTTTACATTTGAAAAATTAAATAAATAAATATTTATTATTATTCTCTTACATTAAGTGTAACATAAATTCTATTAAGTTAAAAGTATATATTATTATATATTTAGAACATCTCTACCAAACACTAAGATGTATGTTGTAGCTTTGGCAGTATTGCACAATATAGCCATTGATTTAAAAGAGGAACCTATCTCTGATGATGACGAAGAGACCCTGCCCTCACTACCAACAGTGCCCTCATCTCAAAATACACTGCGTGGAGCAGCAGTGAGAGCCACTTTTATTGATGAAAACTTTTAAGTTTGATAGTTCTTAATTTAGGTTGTTTTAACAATTAAGTTATTTAAACAAATAAAACACTATTTATCTTTAAAACATCTTTATTTCATTATACTATTTATTTTAAGTGACTCTAATGTCTTCATCAGAATTTCGGCTTGTAATTTTAAATTAATCATTACTTGGTTGTGCATCTCTGCCATATTCTTAACTCTATGTTTGTGTTCTATTTGAAGCCGCTCATTTTCCAGAGCCCGAAAGTATAATATAGTAAGTAATATCTTGATACGAAGCTTCTCCAAAACTAAAACTACTACTTGCTTTCTGCAACAAATAAGAGAATATTAATTTAAGCTCTGTCCATACAAAACTTAAAAAATGTATAATTCATATTATACAAATCCTTCCTGGAAGAACAGTCTATATATTAGTCAGATCAAAATCCGTTGTGTAGTTTAGAAAAACTAATTGCACATGCTACAGACCTGGATGGCAACTTTCTTTTATTCTATTTAGAGATAGAGATAATTTAAATATAATACCAGTGTCTTCCTTGTAAGTTTCTTTGGAGTTGTTTGGGGATTCTTGTTGTTCAGTTCGACATGATTTTCTTTAACCTTTGGATTAAAATCCTACAAAATAATGAAATTGTAAAGTTATGTTGTCACTGTTGTGCACACCTTTGTCTGGCTTTTATAATATTCAAGTTTTGTCAAAACTGATTTATTATCTTATCATTGTTGGCTTAAATTTAATTTTTATTAATTAAAATTAAATATTCAATTTAATCACTTCTGATTATAATTCAGACGCACATATAAAATTCGCACTTGTATAATGAAAATAACTAGGTATATAACCTTTTAACTTGAAAGAATAATTAAAACTCCTTTATTTGTTTAAAAGGTAAATGTCATTATAGTCATTCAAAATTCTTGGCATAGCTGCTAACTTCACGTATATTCTATTTCTTTTTACTTGTAGATTGTCTTATTTACATCTCGCTCGCGCCGGCTATAATCACACTGATAATGTTGTGTCTCAGGTGCGCGCGCATCGTAAAATTTCACTCTCATAAATTTTTCATAACGCGCCTAAAGAAGTATAACTTCAAAAAAATCATAAAGTGCGGTACACGGTTGAGCATACACGCTTATGACGTAATATCAATTCAGAAATGTAACGTACGTTTTTTTAAAAGTTTTTGGCATGTGAATAAGATTAAAATATATAATTCATTAATTCGACATTGTATGCGTTCGTTAAACAATTTCATCATCCGTGCCTCAATTTCTTTAAAGGCCTTATAAAACAATTATTATTTCCTGGGAATAATATATTGAATAAACAAAACAGCGAAATATCAATGAACAGCGTCTTCACGCTTCATGAATAAAGATTTTTTTAAATTAAAATTTCTCATTCATTTTCATATCTTCGTTACACGAATATCTGTTTAACCCGCTTCTTGATGTTGTTTTTATCCATATTTGTGTTTGTTTTGTTGATTATCCTTATCAGTTTAAATTAAATATGACAAGGAAACATCTTTCTATGTTAATATAACGATAACTTGCTAAAATATTTTTCCTTAGTCATATTAATTTACTAAGCTTATGTAGTAGAATATTTTGAGTTAACATAGTTAAATTAACAACTCAAGCTGGATCATTGTGAAGCTTTAAAAGGCTTTAATGCATAAATCCAAATACACAGAAGCCTCCATGAGTTAGATGTATTTTGGAGAACCTTATATGTATTTGGATATAAAGAACGCTAGCCTGATATACTACCTTGTGCAGTTTACATATACATATATTTCATTACATGTTTAGGCAAAAACTGGCAACATCAATAAAGAAGGACTCCGTAACGGAGATTCACCAAATGACGATGCCGTGCTCAACAAATTGTCACACACAAAAAAAAAAAAAAACGCCGAGAATAACAATATCTGCCTGTCTGCATACTGTTTAACACCACCCGAAAAGCGTAATGGTCCCAGCTCCGCGCCTAATTTCGGCAGTATGTCCAACGAACAGATACAGAACTATCTAATCTCGAAATTCCAAGACCTCAATTTCGGGGACGATGATAAGTGGAATCAACAATTCTATCAGAATTGCAACGCGTTCCCAAATATCCCACCACTTATGAACCACTACAGCAATTCGGATCTATCCAGCCTGTTAAACCACCAGGTATACAACCAGAATTCAAAATCGTTGGATGAGGCTGGTGCGATGGCGCAGATGAGCATCGGGCACTCGCAGAACTCTCTATACAGTACAAGTCAATCCACGACATCAAAAGATTCGTCTCCAGACCTGAGTTCCGATGAGGGAATGGCATTTATAATGCCTCTATCACACAATGGAACTTTAGCCGCAACTAGTGATGATGGACGTGTGAGGTTGATTGTCCCTATCAGCCCTTCAGAGAGCACATCCGATTTTGGAGAGATAACGGATATAAAGGAGCCTACTGGAGCCACGTTGAAAGTTCCCGGCGCTGAAGCTTCAGCAGCTCCGATCACCCGAACGACCAGCGAAAAAGTCCCAAATCGAAGCGAAATGATGACAGCATTGCGATCACAGTGGACCAGGCACACTACTAAGTCGGATTATTAATTCAGTTACCGTTATGTTCCATATTATTATATTATTTTAATTTTAGAAACATGTACCAAAAACATGCCAAAAATTTTTTTACATATCAAAATGTGTTTGTGTCAATTTAATTGCGTATATTGTTCGCTTATGAAATATACCTATTTTAAAATTATAAGTTATACACGTTTAAATCGAGTGCCAAATACTCAATTATTAAGTATGTTATAAACATGATTGATATATTATTATATTTAAACTTTAAACTTTACTATGTATGTTACATATCTTTCCTTCATATCGCATTGTTACGATATATAATCTTTATATAAATAGTATTGTAGTTTGAACAATTTGGTACACCTGTGGTGGTATATTTAATATATAAAACTTTTAGAAACATAAATTTCGATTTTGTGTAATAAATAATGAGTTGTAATGAAATTATAAACTCGTTATATATATATAATAAAATAATAAACACTATGTTTATATAATCTTTATGTAAAAATATAATATACGTTATCTCCCTTATCCATAAAAACATTAGGGTATTTCCGACCGTAGTGCGTACCAATTCTTTAAAGGTCGGCAACTCACCTCCGAGCCCTCTGGTATTGAGTGTCCATGGGCGACGGAATCATTTAACATCAGGTCAGATTCCTGCGCGTATGTCCTGTTCTATAAAAAAAAATCACTAAAGTTCTATTTCGCCTCTTCCTGTGAATTGTGTTTACGCTGTGAAGGTATATATGTGTCTTACATAGACCAAAACATGAACCTTGTAAATTTAGATATAAATGTTTTATGTACGCAGTAGAGTAGCGACACCCTAATTCAAATGTTTGGCAACACCAATGCCTAATAGAGTACTCGATGCGCAGCGCAATCGCGCCTATACTCTGCGCTCGTGAGTGGAAACGCTGTCGGTGTCATCCGTCATTTCTCACTTTTACTGTTTTAACTTTCATATTACAGTATTTTACCATCAACAGGCATTGATGTAAGTAAAACATTCAACTTAATGTTGTATGTAAAACTTTACAAGGAGTAAAAGTTTAGTGTAGCGCAAATTTGAGTTAGCGCAGCAGTTGCAACTGAGTTAGTGCCAGTCATGCGTCTACGGACGTTGAATACGTAAAATATATGTATTTTATTAAATGTTGTGTGTAAAATATACATGAATATGGACTTAATTGTGCCAAATATTTTATTTTATTTATTTTATTTTATTTTACAATTTTAGGGAAACTTACAGCTAAAAAAAGGTTCAATGATATACAATTAATATGATGAAGGCCACTTATCAGTTTCCACACTTACGCATCAACACATTCTTACACACCAATGCTCAATAAACTCTCAAGGCTATATTAAAATCTAAATAACTCAAAGTATCGATCACAAAGGGCTTTCTTCGTTTTCGTAACACTTGCGCAGAACAAATCCAAATTAACCTCCCGACATGCTACATTAAAAGAACGACATGCTCGCAATAGGTAAGAATTTTGTCTATATATAGTTCTTGCTATGGGGACGTACAATAAATTTGGTCCTCGCAGAGACAATGATGGTGCGTACACCACCCTAGATAACAGTTCTGGCAACTCAGCTGCACCATTAAACAAAGACACTAAGAACGTTATGTCCGATATGCTCTACGCTCAGCTAAAGGCAAAATATGAAATTTTTTGCAGCGTGTATGATAACAGTAGGTAACAGTTAGATTTAAATTGAATGTACCTTAAGAATTTTTTTTTGTATACTTTCAAGGCGGTCTATATAAATGTTGTATATTGGGTTCCATACCTGTGAGGCATATTCGAGGTGACTACGAACGAAAGAGCAATATAATATTTTAATGGTTTTAACTTCCTGAAAGTCGGAATAGATTCTTATAATGAAACCTAACGCTTTCGTGGCTTTATTAATGATGCTTTCAATATGCAGATCAAAGAGAAGTTTGCTATCAAATATAACTCCAAGATCTTGGACAGATCCAACTCTTACTCAAATAGAATCTTGAAGTTTATAGGGAAAGGCAAAAGGGTGGAGTTTGCGAGTAAATGTACAAAATATGTAACACTTAGATACATTCAAGTCGAGCTCGTTCAGAACACAATAATTTTGAAAGCGGTCCAGATCTTCTTGTAAAGAGAGTGCATCAGCGACAGAGTGAATCTGTTTCATGATTTTCATGTCATCTGCATACAGTAAAATTTTGGACGGCTGAAAACAATGCGTGATGTCGTTGACAAATATATTAAAGAGAAGTGGGCCCAAAAGCGATCTTTGTGGGACTCCTGAAGGTATATATCTAGTTCTTGATGAGTATCCATTCAACACCACAGTCTGACATCGATTATCTACGTACGATGAGAACCATCTGAAGAGATCACCCCGTATACCAATGGAAGATAACTTGCTTAAAAGTATGTTGTGGTCGATTTTGTCGAAACATTTGCTATAGTCTGTGTATATAACATCCACCTGGGATCTCTGAGCCATAGAGTCTGATAGGAAGTCACTACAGAGGATCAAATTTGACGTAGTTGACCGGCCCTTTATAAAACCGTGTTGGTATTCACTAAAGTCCAGTTTCAGTGCTGAATATACTTGTCTGTAAACGATTTTTTCCATAATTTTAGCGAATACACACAACTTAGATATAGGTCTGTAATTTTCAACGACGGCTTTTGATCCTTTTTTCAGGACAGGTGTTATATACGCAGACTTCCACAAAGTGGGCACTACTCCGGCAGTAAGTGAGAATTGGAATAAGATTGAAAGTGGTAAAGTCAGGCTATCGGCGCAATTTACTATAAATACTGGTGGAATATTGTCAGGCCCCGGTGACTTGTTTAGATCCACAGGTTTTTAAAATCTATATACCTCATCCCTATTTATTTCTATCGACCCGATATCTGTGCCGAAACAAGCAGCCCCCTCGGGTACGGTCTGTGTGTTAATTGGTGGCGAGTTGTTATTGACAGCGCTCGGTTCCAAAAAATTTGAATAAAAGTAGTCGCTGAACATGTTGGATATAACGTCTCCATCCCCAGATGAATGCTTTCCATACTGTAATACAGAGGAACAGCAATTGGACTGCTTTTTTGATTTTACATAAGCCCAAAAAGCTTTAGGATTGCGCTTTATGTTGGATTCTATACCAGATATATAATTATTAAACAACTCTTTTTTCTTAATCTTTCACTCTCTGTCGTAAAACGACAAATGAATGATGATCCGAGAGGTTTTATATTTTTTAAACTTTAAATGATATTTAGCTTTCTCCTTTATTATTTTGATTAGCGAGCTGTTATACCAGACTGGGAATTTTGACTGTACTGTTACAATTCTTGATGGAATGTAGATGTTACGCAGATCGTTGATAGTGTCATAGAAATACGATACAACATCTTCAACGGATCTACGCCTCAGTTCATAGTCCCAGTTCACGGAATCCAAATTTTGTTTTATGGCATTGTAATCGCCCTTGTTGTACAAATATTGTAAGCGAGGGCGAGTGGGTAGGCTGTGCAACTGAACCAACTCCTTAAAACCCCTCCCTTCGATTGTTCGGTAGCAGCATAATTACGATCTCGTCTCCAAACAAGATACCGATTATCGAACAACTCGGAATCCGAGATACCCTCCAAAAGCCACGTTTCAGTAATACATATAATATCATAGTTATTAACACACACATTTCTGTAAAAAGTACTCAATTTCGTTCGTAGCCCCCGAACATTTTGGTAGAAAATATTAAGCGGAGCCATTGCAGATATTATCATACAATTCAACACAATAATAATAAATATGTGGGGTGCATTCTAATCCCCACCAATGAAATGCAAATACTACACAAGTATGAGCAAAAATAAAATATTAGATTATTCTAATAAATGTTTGTACGCCTTACTAAGCCAAAAGCAGTTCTAATTCTAAGGAAATAATGTCTATAATCACAAAAACTGCACGACAAAAAGTCATTAGCATTGAGCGATAAGAGAACAAAAGGCGTGCAGGTACAAGTTGAACTGCAAAAATTGCTACCTGTGGTCCTCAAACTTATTGAGCCGATCCAATAATGTGACATGCCGGACTGTTTAAATATGATTATGTAAAAAACTTTTTGAAGTCGCGTTCCGTATTGATATGATGTTTTGGAGACGATGTGTTTTTTCGTATGAAAATTTTGCACCCTTTCACCCAAACATAGTCATATCCCCGTTCTTTTGCGCGAGCCTTGGTTTTATTTAATAGGGCTTTGTTCTCCAGAGTTAGGTGATCGTTGACGTAAATCCTGCTATCGCCACGTAGTCCTAAATCCACCGCTTTAAGGGCCTTATGATTCTTTGCAGCAGCTACAAATTCATTCTTCAAGTAACTGTTCTGGACAGAGCATATAATGTTTTTGTTATTCTTATTATTACGCGTAGGCACTCTGGCGATGTAGTTGACCTGCTCCTTTTGGATTTTACAGTTCATTGCAGTCCCCAACTTATCTAAGATGTTAAATAAGTTCTCGGCACTAGACTCGGGTACACTCTTAATTTCAATATTATTCATACGTAGACGTTGTTCGTTATGGTTCTGCAGTTCCTCCAAGTTGTTTACACGCTCCTGCAGGGTCAACAAATCTCCTTTTGTCTTAACCAAGGAGTCAATTACTTGCTCCAGGGTAGCTAGCGGTAGATACCTTCAAGGTTAGAGCCTCAACAGTATCATGAACAAACTCGATAGACGCCTTCATGTCCGAGAACTCCTCTCTAATAGTCCTAAATTCCACCAGTTCAGCCTGTATCGCCCTCACGCTATCCACTAATGCTAGTGTAGCCTCCATTTGCGACGACAAACGCTTCAGCTCGACAACGATGGAATCTGGATCCGACGACGTTGTTGGTTTAGGACTGGCTATTCCTTGGGACTTGCAACTAGAGCATTTCCAGGTGGATTTCCGCTCTCCTAGTTTCCGCCATCCACCCTCAGTTATTCCAGCGCAAGGGAAGTCAAACTGACCCACACAGACAGAGCATGTGGCGCCGTCCCTAGCTTCAATTTCACACCTCATATTAATACAAGCTTTGAGAAACACTTTAACACTTGAAAAATTACGCAAACGAGCAGCGAGCAGTTGTGCACCTGTAGTCGGACTCGAGTCTACCGTCATACAAAATAATATGAAATATTTAATATAATTATCGCCTATCATGACCGCAAATATTGGAACGTCATATTATATACATACGTCAAAAAGTCATACACACTCTGTATCGCACAAAAGGTACCGATCTCGACTTTAATGTTGGCATCAGATCACATATGCTTATACTTTACCAAAGATATCATTTACCATAGTCATTATTTATATCGATAATAAGTAAAATAATTGATGTATACAAAATGCTTTATGGTGCTAATATAGACAGCGAGTCCTGTTAAAACTATAGTTAAATATAAAATCTTATTCGTAATATACAGATATGCTTCCGGGTTTTTCATTGTTTCGAAGCTTCTGTGTACCTACAAGAATTTCTTAGCTGATAAACCTATTTCACCTATTGTAATTTTATTCTTTACTTCATCTATCATAAACATAGTATATATTCAATTAATGTTTATTTTCTTGCAAGCTGATATATTGCCTAGATATTTGTAGTTTTAGTACGTTTATTAATACTATATGGGTAGAACTGTAATCGTATCTTTGAAACGTAATAATCAGTAACTATATTATTAGCTTGACATTTAATCGTTGTAGTACAGAACGCTACATATTTGTGAGCAAAAACCACCCCCTGAGAATGTTAAACTATAAAACTTACATTGGTTACCCAAAACCTGCAGCTATATTCTATAGTTTGTATGGCAAACGTTTGCCTATGTATCAATAATGTGTACTACAGGATTCATCGAATAAACTATCCCGTGTATCGAAAACTTTGAAATAATGGTGAACGTTGTTCATTAACATTTAAACAAATATCCACATTCGTGACATTACGATTCGATGAATCTTGTACATTTGAATATATTAAAGGAAAAATCACTATTCAAGTTATTTGATATTAATAGAGTAATTTGATGTATACATCTTGGTGGAATATATTGTGTAAACATAATGTTAAGTAGAAAAAGTTTCCATTCACTTCTAACCTAAACTTCTTTACGAAAATTATAAAAAAAGAATAATAGAATATACTACGTAAAATTGTATTGTTTATTAGTAATCATAACAATAAAATACACAGTATTTACAATTTTCTTAACCTACGTAGTAAAAAGAAAAATCAATAAAAACAAATTTAAAAAGTCACAAGGTACACTGCCACAGGGACCACCCTGTGGCAGTGTACCTTGAACGCTGGCAGAACTTCCTCGCTGTATTGCGATACTTATTCGTTGAGCGAGGAAATGTTATAATTGTAATTAATAATAAATTGTATTTTCTCAATAAAATAAGACCCACATTCAACCTAATTAAGATGCGGTCTATCGGAAAGCCAGTCTAGTGGTGCCTCTTGAATCGCTCTTTAAAAAAAGCTCATAGTACCATTAGTTAGAGATTCATATTCTGTCTTTAGTATGAATAGTTCGTTGGCATTTTGGGAAGTAAAGGAAATATTTTGTATATTCGTGTAACTACACTAAATGTATGGAAATCTATGCACTCGTATACACCCTAAAAGCTCGTGTTTCGAAACTTTTTTATGCTTAACGATGTTTGTTGATGTTTAAGCTTATAGTTGAAATGCAAATAAATTGTGTGGTAATAATAAAGACAAACAAAAATTAATTTTATTTTTATCTTATAAACATATTTCCTACCTGCGGTAATTATTAAATACTATGAATAGTATATAGACTTTCAAACACGGCCGGCCAGAGAATCGAAAAAATCTATTTTTAAATAATCAATACATCTAAATTTTATTGCTCAATCATATTAGGTATATGTTTTAATTATTTTTCAGTCAAGAGAACTTTGAAGTTTATTACTTGCTTTATAAATCCCAGACTTTTGACAACTTGTGTACTTTCTACTGGTCCTTGCCAGATAAACAGACTTTATTATATTATTTGAGAAAATGTATGATATTTAATATAATTTTTAAACTTTAAGTAATAATGAACACAAATATTAAAGCAAAATAGACCAGCTAGCCAGTGGATCGATCAATTTGTTCGAAGGTGTCTGAACTTAATAGAATACGTGACTTCATTCGCACGAGTCATTCGATATGCCTCTCAATATATTTTCGTATGATGGGCTACAAAATGTAATTTAGACCCTAGTTTGCACATTTTATTTTAATGAACGAAACATACTTTGGGCCTTTGAACTCGACACCTCATTATATAAAGAAAGGAGATACAGCCTCATGTGTTCGTGTGTTAGCCGTGCTAAAATTAAAACCCACTAAGTTATCGTAACGTCACAGCATAGCGGTGTCGTTGTATGTTTTGAGATGTATTAAGAGTCGGAAAATCTATTAATTTACATACCAGTCAGTAGTTTTCTCTATTATTTTCTAATTTCTCCCCCGGTATTTGAAATTGCGACATTGTTAGAGAGAAATGGCATACACAAATGGTTTTTAAAGCAAATTAATCAAAAAGTATCGCTGAAGTTTTAAATACGATACCATGGATCCAATCGAAAGAAACCTGACATTGTCATTTAAATGCCGGTTTTCCACCAATGTTGTTTTCTATGTAAAGACTACGAACAAAGAAGTCGGTCTTCGACCCAAAAATATGGTACAGACTCCGAAGGCGCCTATAGGCAAGGTATATTTATTTATTTATTAAAGCTTGCCAACGCTCGGCACACTGATACGTTGGTACACAAAAAAATTTTTTAGTGTGACAAGCACTTATAGGCAAACATAACATACACGAAGAGATAGTAAAAATAAATTAAACAAAACAATTAAATTATAAAAGTAAACGATTTTAAAGTGTGAAGGGAGCAACTATGGATATCCAGACCCAGCTCGTTTATCAGTATTCTCAATCTGGACATCGATGAGTTTTGGCCAAAACGCGTTCTCCGGAAAGGAGGGACAAATGGAATGATGGGATGACCTAGAGGGTACAGGAAATTTTAATTTTGTTAAAAGGTTGAATCAATCAACCTGATGGTTAAATATCTTAATTGCAAACGATACATCTATTAATATATTTACTAAGTTTATCAAACTGTTAGCCCACTGTATTATTATTAGTTTTATTCTAGGGATGCATCGATACGCTTTTTGCCGATACGATACCGATGCCGATACACTTATAGGAATATCGTCGATACCGATACCGATACCGATACCAAAGCTTATTGAATTAAAATTAAATTAAGGTAAAATATATCAAGTTAAGTTAAAGTTTATAATTTTTATTCAAAAAATAGTCACAAACTTTGAATTATTTTAAAGGTTTTGTTACTAAAATTAAGAATTAAGAGTAATAATTAAATTAAAATAAAATAAATAACTGTTAATAATTAAAATTAACAATGATAACATTGTTGTAATTCTGTATTTTATTAAATTTGGTATCGAAAAAATACTAGTCGCGATAGCAGTTAAAAGCTAACTAAATGATCTTCAAATCTACGTTCAATAAAGTCTCAATGATCTCCCGCAAGCCATAATATCTAATAACTATGCGCTGGCAAAGATAGTTGACTCGAGTAAAAATTTTGGTCTACTAATCAATCCAACAAGAGTTTTTCGTACTAACTACTAACTGGCGTGAGACTGATCGTAGGTATATTATCGTGATGTGCACTTTTTATTTTTCATGTAGACTTTTTTTAGTTTATATGAGATATGTATTTTTGCCCTCCTTTTCATTTAATTATGTTCAATTTTTATATTGTAATGCAGCAAAGTGTTAATAAATAAATAGTGTTTAGCGAAATGAAATACAAATATACATAAATAATAATGCTTTGTCCCCAAGCGAATGATAGAGACAACAAACTGAAAAAAACGAGGGATTTCTCGGGCAACAATAGTCCGTGGCTCGTTTGCAACAAACTAGATCATACAAAATGCGCGTTTACATTATTTTTTTAAAGCGTGAAATTTGAAAAGTATCGGTGAATCGGCATCGGTATCGGATGCATCCCTATTTTATTCTATAGATAAAAAACAATATCAAAAGGTATATTAGGGTGCGTCCACATCTGGCGAATGCGCCGCGAATGTGCAGCCGTTTACGAGCTGCGCGTCATGGCAATGGTTTGGTGCGCCTCTTTAGCGCAACTAATGCAAGACTCGTAAAAAACGCGCACTCAGTTCTCGCGCTTACAGTTCCGTTTACTGACTCAGTAGTCACTAGCGCGCCGCCCGGGCCCGCGCACTGCGCGCAGGCGGCGCGGGAGCGGCGCACGATCAAAAATGCACGCGCGCAGGTCGCAAACTGCTCGCGAGCTGCACATTCGCGGCATATTCGCCAGATGTGGACGCACCCTTAGAGTTGACAATTCTAAGTGAAAAGAGCCACAAACATTTTCGCTTACGAAGAAAATGTAGTGCTTAATTCCCGCAATATTAGCTAAACCATTGGAGTAAAATCTCTGAGCTAATCGAATTACATTAACCGAGTTGCATTACACTGAAAGCTTCTACCCGGTTGCTATATCTTACCGATAGGTTTCCATTTACATCAGGCAATCATTAGTTAAACTACTATACTGATTGCCATTTTGTTTCCATAAATAAAGACGTGTTTCCATAATGCAAATTGACCATTTGCGTCATTTTTTTAAAGACATAAGACATAATTAAATTAAATTGCAGTATTAATTAAAGTTTTCTTTCGAGTTTTGCTGTTTGCATGAGTATGGAGTAATGAAAAGAGCGTATATTGGTTAAAAGTAAAAATACTTTTACGCTAGACGCGAAACATATCAATGCCAGATTTTCCAGTCGTCAAATACAGAACATTAATATTGTCCTCTCTTATCATTCCTAATGTTCAAAATCAGCAGGATTTTCCAAACTCCGTCTGCAAAAACCAACCGAGGAGTTCATGCACCTCTCATTCGAATTCTTCGCGAATATAACAGAATAAACACTTATCCAGGGCTTTATATGCAAAAAAGCATTGTTAAGCAAAGAATTACTTGTAAAATCTAAAATTAGAAGTGTAATTTTTTTTTTGTAACTTATATAATATATTTACCAATAATTTATTGGATATCGTTAGATTTCTATAATATGATCTATGCGACGATAAAAAGCTTTACCAGGAACAAATGCAAATAAGAGATCAGTCATATGTGACTGCAAATTAAAATCACTATTTTTCCGGTCATCGAACCGAGAGCTACCATCTTTTACGCCGCAAGTGTTGACCACTGTGACAAGAAGTCGAATTTCCGTTAACAATAGTGAAACAATACACTTTTTGTGAGTGTGCTGCCATCTATGATCTATTTTAGTCGCTCCCTCAACTGCCCTGACTCGATTTTTGTTAACTAAGACGCGGTGACAAGTTATTGTAAGAGATAGCGCTATTGCAAAAATATTACAGTTAACTCTTTTTTATATAAAACTAGCTGACCCGGCGAACTTCGTTCCACCTAACAGTCTAATAATATCGTGTTAACTTTAGTTAAACTTACTTTAGGATTTCATACATGTCATTTATACAGTAATATAACTTTTTTTGCAAATACAGAAATGTTTTATTTCGTTGGTATTAGAGATTTGGATGCCAAAAATTGCCATATCGCTCACTTTCGTGACATATTTGCAGATATTTGATGATTTGATGGAATTTGACTTTCTTATTTCGTCAACAGATGGCACCACATGCTGTTTGCATTCGTAAAATTAATTAATTTATTTATTGTTTTTCGATAACTTATCCGATATTTTATTACTTATTCTGCTATTCGGAGCGGAGAAGAATCCACCAAAAAAGAGATAACTAAGCCAGCCAATCTTGAGTTATAAGCGGTGTAACTAACACGACTTTGTTTTATATATTTAAAATTACATTCTCGTGGTCCCTAAGCTTAGATTTAAACGTAACTAAATTGTTTCCGAACGTAAGCCAAAGATGGCGCTGATCCCATTACACGCATTTTGTTAAAAAGAACAAACATTTTTCATTATGTGAAATCTACTCAAGAAATATCCTCTATATAATATATATTATCTTTCTTGTTTAAAACCTCACACAGATACACTATAGGTATATATTACACTTATTTTAAGTATATGAACTGTTTTAGTTCTGAATAACAAGAAAATTTTAAACAAAATAGGATCCACTTAATATACACTTAAATGCTTATAACTTTGTTAAATGCTGTCGGATCACGTAATTCTAATTTGCGACTTATAAAAGCGTTACCTAACTGTTCAAATCACTATTGGGTAACACATAAGACAATGTATTCATTCTAATATTTTAATTGCAGTTATCTTCAACCGCAAAGATAGATAGATGGTTCTCTCTCCTTCCCTCATCAACACTGTCGCGGCCAGAAAGCGGTTTTATCTCCGGAGTAGAGGATACCGACACGGCCCTTGCTGAAGCCAGGAGTCTGCTGCTCCATTTGGGTGTGAAGAAGAAACGAAGACTTCTACCGCGTTTTAGACGCAAGATATTAGTTAATAAACATACATTGCTTTAGCAAAAGACGAGCTTGGTGAGAGCAGTCTGATAATGTAACGCGTTACATGCTCCTAAGGGAAGACTCGGGACTCAAAACTGTTAATTAAGTTACTAATGAAGCAGATATATGAAACAAGGATTACTTAACTAAATTTCTTAGTCACGTGAGACAAAACACTCTTAACGGCACCAGCGTTTTTGTAAGAAAAATAAAATTCTCGCGTATTTAGGAGCAGTATAGATTATTATAGAAATATTTTACAAACCTTTAGCCTCGACAAGGCTTACTTATCAAGAATTCATGTTATAGATAAAGAAATATGTTGTTGTTGGAGGATGTTATTCATCTTATAGTTAGTAGTTCAAGACGATATAAGTATTATTCGTAATTACATTCGCAAATAATTAATGATTATGATTAGGTATAGACATAGTTTTATATAATATTAGCAATAATTTACTAGTTAATTATAAACAGCAACAGACAAAACTATAATAATTCTGCCAAAGGCGACATTTGCCTTTAAAATCAAGATATCCAAATACTATTAAGACGCTATATAATATGTTTTCTGCGTTTCAGCGAACAAAATAGTGATCTCTTATCCAATAGTTAAGTTATCTGAGACCAATTGAACATTATATAGACTTATAAACTTGGTGATCTTGTATTTCGTCCGGTTATTATGATTGTCAAAGTGGAGCCAATAAAAAAAAATCGACGGGTTGCACTCCGGGAGTGCCGGCAGAAGTGAAAACTTGAATATTAACGTTGTGCAATTTTGATATGTTGGAATGGTTAGGGAATAATTGCTTTAATTATCAGTATGAAAGTACTATCATTTATGTGGAAGAATACAATATTTATTATTATTTATCGTACACGAACATGACAATTTATTTATTAATTTATATTACATTCAATACGCCGCGCCAGCTGTCTACTCTGAATCCGTCTTACGAATATTCGATCAGGTCACGTGTCCTGACGCGAGTTTAACATTTTTTACCCATTCCAAAAAAAGTGTACAACGCCGCTAAAGAAGTTTTCACTTCAATTATACAAGCCGATTGTTTGTGTCATTCGTCCAGCACTCAATCGTATTATGTATTTGCTGTTATCAACGACTTCATTCAGTTGTGTTTTTCTCATATTAATACATTTTATTAATCAATCTGGGCCCAATAATGCAATGTATCGATATAACGACCTGACTCAAAGTCAGGGTCGCTTTTGGGAGTTTGTGTTCTACACGAACTACATTGGGATACAAACATTGTGAGATCTAAAGTAAGCGGCGGTTAAACTGGAATCTCCTAGACAGGCGTGCCCTCCAATAGGCCACATCTCACTTAAACATCTCTCCAGTACTGTATAAATATTTGTTTTAAAGTTACAGAGAAAAAACGCAGGGACAGCCACTACAGTATTGCATAACCACTGAATTTTCACATCTTGTACATGTAAAGGGATGCAATAGGAGTAAACTATTAGTTATTATGATTTGTAACGTGTTTTACTATAAAAGCCGGCAATTGATATTGACACTTCGACAGAAAACCTTCCACATTCCGCTTCAATAAACGATCGTTTGCGATGCCAAGTGGAAGTTCAAAAAAATCTCTCTGATAAAGGATACGGATACGTATTTATAAATACTAATTGTGTAGGTACCAAAAAGACGACGTTTTAGTGAAAATTACTATATTTACTTTTAATTAAGTAAACTATAGATTTAGAGTCAAGACAAGAGCGCTAGGCATTTAGTTGAAATCAAAAGGTTTTTGACATACAGTTCGTACTAAGTTTCACTGAAATCTTACGCGAAGGCTGACACTTTTAAGCGAACTTACACTTATTTGTAGGAGTCCTCGCTTTGCAAATTTTTAGCCCTGGAATAAATTAAAAAAAAAATGTATCTTTGACGTTAACAAAGTAAGTACTAAGGCTGCGTTTTAGCACGGTATATGTCTCCCAATTTTTGGATTACTTTTATAGTGATAATTTTTTAATGATAAGTCTTGACAGCTTACTAAGTACTTTATAAGTTAGTTGAAGTAAGGCTATATTAATAAAATATATCTCAATAATAATTATGACAAACCAACAAGTTCATAGGCGCTGACAAAATACATGTTTGGCTTTATCTAATATCTAGGTTATAAACGACGCGTTTTCGTCAATTTTGGTAAGATTTGCGAACAATATGTATTACACGTCGGAAATATCTGCGAACCTCGCTGGAATGCGCTTCCCCGCACCCCGCCCCGTTTTCGCCTATCCAGTACCGTTGCCAACGCAATCGCCGACGCACGTGTATTATTCTTGCTTTCGTAATCGCATTTTAGTGTTTATTGTTTCTCTGTTTGGTGAAATATTACATAAACTACCTATTTAGTGCTGTATGTAAGATGGGTAGGACTATAATATATCAATAAAAATAAGTACACAAATAAAATATTTTTTATTTTTACATCTTCAATTTTTTTGCTATCTCTCCAGTTTGTATGACGTCATTAAGCCAGGTTCGCAGATATTTCCGACGACTTGTATAACAATAAACATATTATTAAACATATTATGTTATTAAGACGTTTACATAAACCATTATACTATTTCAGGTATATTTATTGGTGAAAGGTGTATAAAAATTTGATGTACAGCAAACCCCCTTACAACACGGAACTTTTTATATTACGCGATTTCAGTCCCCTCGTATAACACAGGGATTTCACACGTTATACCTATATCTGTACTGTGACATTTGTAATGATTTGTACGCACTTATTTCGTTTGTAACATAGTTTTATTTTAATATTAAAATCCCCTTTAACGAGAAAAGTTTAACGTAAATCATTTGTATATAACGCACAATCTACTAGCGTTGCCAGACGTCCCGTATTTCCCGGGACGAAAAAAAAGCGAGTTGCGATCGTTTCTAATTACGATATTAATTATATTGATTTTTATCAATATGTTAAAACCAACAAAAATTGCTTAAAGAATATCCTAACAAATGTCTCTATATAATTTAGTTTTTTAATTGTCCGACGTAAAAAACTAAATTCCCGTATTTCCCGGCTGAAAAAGAATCTGGCAACCCTACAATCTACCGTGTTATAAGAGGGATTACTGTAGGTACATTCATTAAGTCAATGTAGGTCATTTAATAATATGTATTAGGTTTAGCATGAATAAGTGCCATAGTGTTCGACCTAGGTGCTGTATGAAGTGGAAACAATTGAAATTAAGGACATTTTGTACATCTCGGCAGCATTCTGTAAAATTAATGCTTTTTGTAATGATTGATATCATTGATAAACGAATGTGTCAACTTCGAATTACGTACTAAGACATAAACAACGGAATATTGAAGTTACATGGTCAAGACTCAAGGTGGCTTGTGACAAGTTACTTTTTAGTTTTTAAATAGAGCGAAAGAGTTAAAATATTACTCACGCATCAAGTTTTAAACAGACTTCTTAATTATAAGGGTAAGGTTCAAAGACTGAATCGAATAAACAAACGGTTGTTTAATAATTTAAAACCCAATTAGTTAAAGACCGATTAAAGGATTAGGTAGTGAAACACCTTTTTTAGCTTTTTATGATAAACTTAATTTTATCTTACTAATATGCTTAAGTAACCGTTAACTGTTAATGTTGAAATCCTCAGATAATGTCATCTTTACAATGATTCCTAAAGATATTCCAGAAGTACTAAATACATACAATTCAATAGAATTTTGGTTTTTCTCGTTCGGAATTACTAGTTGACACATTGGTATATCAATTAAACGTCATTAATATTATTTAGTAGTAAATAAGTTAATTTCATTCCATTAAATTGCATTTGTCTAGGTGTAAGTTACTTTAAACCTAGTTATAAGTTCATGTATGCAATGACTGATAATTTGATTAATGAACAATAAAATTTTATGCATACAATCTGTTTTATTTGAAAATTTATTTAAAGTCTTACATCCCATACTAGGAAATTCTGGTACTAGGAAGGTCTGGTCTCAAATTTCTGTATCATTTGTCAATCTAATAGGCAGATGATCAGCCTCCGGTCCTCACGATGTTTTCTTTCGCCGTTCGAGCGAATGTTAAATGCGCACATAGAAAGAAAGTCCATTGGAGCACAGCCGGGGATCAAACCTACGACCTTGATGAGAGTCGCACGCTAGCCACTAGGCCAAAACTGCTACTCCCCATGCTAATATATAATAAATTGTTTTATATAAAGTTAAAAATAAATAAAAAACACGCAATAATCAAATGATTATTGCGTGTCATTTCAAAGTCCAGAGATAAATATCTCTGGACTTTGAAATGACGCTTGCATTAATAATTTCGTTACACGTCACGTTAGGTTATATAACATCACACGATTATTTATTTAGATTAGATATTTCGCCGGTAATCGAAGCCAGAGCTACCATCTTTTACGGCGCAAGTTTGCAATGTACCGCGAACTCGTAATATCGGTAAGTAAAAAAAATTTGTTTATTGTTAAACCATCTGCCAGTGTGCTGCCATCTATGAAATATATTAGTCGCTATTGTAAATTAGGTCTCTTTTTTTTTAAGGCATGTTTTCAAGTTTCATAATTCTATTTACACTAACACTAACAACCTAAGCCCTTTAAGTGCAGTGTACTGATTTCAGCTTAAAACGTAATTTTAAATAACAGCATACACTTGAATCCTCGACAGTCTTAATCGTTCCTAACTTGATCAAAAGATGGCGCTGTTACACGAAAGAAGTCACATTTAAATGTGAACTCAAGCAATATTTCCTATAATATATATTTTATATAGTATCTTTCTTGTTTAAAGGTCTGTATTAAAAATGTTAAAGGAATGCTCTCGTTAAAATGATATTATATACAAGAATAAGTACTTGAATCAAACACTCTATAAAATATAATATATTTAATTTAATTTACATATACGAACTCTTTTTAGTTCTGAATAACAAGAAAATAATAAAAAAATAGGGTCCATTTAATAATAGTCAACATGCTTCTTATTAATGTACAGATATACAATTTATTTGTTTTGTAGCAATGGCCTCTATCGAGTTTTGCCGTAATCTGTCGTCATTCCTCTATAGTCTATATGTATATCAGAAAGATGGCGCTTTAATACGATAAAAATTAACTCGAGTTTTACATTATAAACTTTAATTTTTTAAACTCGCTTTATTTATTACTCGAAAGATTTTGTATTTTAATTGATCTCAGAAAGACGTGTTTGAATTTTCCTAATAATGTTGAAGAACTCGACAAACAAATCACAATTTTAGTAACTAGTATTTTTTTATAATCTATATACTAGAAAATCATCCAGAATCATCAATATGCCAGCCATGTATGATCTTCTGTGTCCTATGTCGCTAGTTTATATAACTAATAATAATACTAGTTATATTAGTTATTTACAAACGAGGTCTTCTAAATAATAGATAATAATGTAGTATTATTAGTCATTACCTACCTACTTATTATTGTCTTGTCACTTTGTCATTAATTACTTGTTTTTACATTTTAATATCAATAATTTCAATTTTAAACATAATATAAAGAAATGTAAATACAATCGCATTTTATAGTTTATCACGTATAGATTTGACTTGCTACTGTTCCACGATCGTACCTAACAATGTCTTGTAATACGATCGTTAAACAGAAATGACATTTCTATTGTTCATTGAGAGATTCGTCCTTCACAATGACATTCCGTGTTATTTCATATTTGTCGAGAACATTTAATTAGTGGCAATTTTAACCTAACTCTCGACCTTGAAGAAAAAACAATGTACAATCTTCATGTATGCTGTTATTTACATTTGTTTCCTCATTTCTGCTTTATTATTTATTATATAGAACTGATTTAAACGTATATATCGCAAGGACCAAACAGTAATTATTACTGTTTATACGCTGTAATACAAATTCTAAAAACGTGTCATAAATTGATTTGGGAATGTGAAATGTTTAGATTTCATTTACTTAGTACAATGGTGCTACAGCCCTACGGACCTTGGTTTCTATAACTCGAAACGTTTTCGTGGGTAAATACATTACCCATTACCCTTCGAGCGACTGTCTTGTGGGACTCGCTACTGAGTAGACCCACCAAAACTCCATGGCGCCACCAGTAGTAGCCCAAGGTAGGACACGGTAACATCGTAGCCTAGTCCGCATCCCGCCACGCGATGTAACCACGTCAACCACCTGAATTGCTAATGACCATAGTGGTACTGTTCCTTCCTCTATATCAGCATCACGTTCAGCCTATCGAAGCTTCTCAATCCGTATTGTTTTTATCACAGTCATGAAATCAATCCAAATTGGTTCGTTTTCACGAAAGTAAGCTTGTCCCTTTCTGCCAAATTTTGATAACGCTGTGATGAAAAAATACAGATGAGTACTTCTATAAAACGTTCCAATTTGACGGATTTATTCTTTTCTCTCTGAAATATGTAAGTACTCAGATTTTTTTTGGATTTTTTACATAACCAATTAATTTCTAGTAATTTTTGGTTGATAACCAACAACCAAGTAAAAATTTGCACATCCCTGGCACCAACAGCCATAGACCCCTATGTGGGATTCGACTCATTCCAGGCACTCAGGTGTGCCCACTAAAACCACATTAAGAACCAACACGAATGCATCAAAGAGGACTTGGGGCATTAGCGAATTTAAGATGTTTTAAGGCTCTCTTTATTGGAAGACAGAGTACCGGCATAGATTTTGCTTAAGAGAATATATTGGAAAGAGCTTTTAAAATCACTGTAACAAGTACACATTAATATTAATATAATGAACAAGCTAGTCAAATTAAAAAATCTAATAGTTTATACTAACTAAAGATATTAATTGTTCCGGTCTTGGACTCTCAAGGAGTTAAAAATAAATCAGTGGCGCTACAACCTCTTTTGGTCAGGGCCTCAGATTTCTGAATCTGTTTCATGATCATTTTATAATCTAATAGGCAAGTAGGTGATCAGCCTCCTGTGCCTGACACACACTGGACTAAGGCATATCGGTTTCCTCGCGATGTTTTCCTTCACAGTTCGAACAAATGTTTATTTATTTATTAAGTTTACGACATCATACATAGTACTAAATCTACTGATTATTTTACAAAATCTTCCATCTAAAATGTATGACAATTAAAGTAAAATAAGTTTTACAAAAAAAAAGAAATTAAATTTTAAAAAATACACAAGATAACATAAGCACACAATAAAATAAAATAAAATAACTAGAAATTTGTTGGTAATTAAAGCAGAAAAAAAGAAAAATCATCAGCAAGACAGCGAATTAGGTTCGAGAAAGGCACCCCACAATGCTTTCTCTAAGACAAGCCCTGGTACATTCGGAATTTCGACACCCGCCACATTCATAAAAACTGCTGCTTACTGCTGGAGCACACGAACATAGGCTCCACCATCACGTGAATGTCGAGGCTATTCAACTCCTTGACACCACGGGCCTAGTGGAAAGACTGAAAAGGACAAAGCCATTTGAACTAGTGAGTAAGTGTGAGTGCACGTTAGTATTAAGTGCTAAACTTTAATTGAGACTGTAAATCAGGTTAGACTTAAAGTACTTATTAGTCTTTAGTTAGGCTAGATCGTAATAATCTATGATGTCTTAGTGAAAAGTAAATAAGCATGCAAGGCAATGTAAGTGTCTAAGGGTGGTATAACGGCATCAGGTGGGCTTAGTGTCCGTTTAAAAAATGAAGCTAATAAGCTAAGATAAGTTTTTTATGTTAGATTCCTATTTTCCGTGTGGATTACAAAAAGATTGAACTGGGGAATATAGACAAAAGAAAAATTTAATATTAGGAAAACATCGATCCTTAAAATAAAAATACATACAAAATTTCTCAAAGCTGCTCTATCGGAATCCATTCAATATAATCATAAACCGGAGCGTGACCAACTAAGCTATTGACGCAAATGACCTAAAACAAGCAACAGGTTTTGCTGAGTTGAACATCATTGGTGCAATTAATTGCGAAATACAACATAAAATCATTCTTAGGATGTTTGACCCTTGAAGCCACTTCATATGGCCATTTAAGTTCGTTAAAAATGACGCAAGATTTAATATTGTACGAATCCTGAACCGTAAAATTGATCGAAATCGACTGCCACGACGTTATTAGTGTATAGGATAAACGACTTTATTTCCAACACTACTAAGGAAAGTTTGCTAACACGGTTTATAATTGAGGCTTGTACATATGCCATATTGCCATGTCTACCAGTTTTCGCCGAATGTTACCACGGACAGTCGCGTATGTTGTACATACATCGTTATATTAACACGACTTTACCGTTGCTTAGAATGTCATGGATCTCTAATACATTCTGCTAATACCAATGTAAGTTATAGTTTTTAAAAGGAATGTGAAAGTGTCAGACAATATGTTCTATAATATAATGTATATGAATTATTATAACTTGCCCTTTTGCGAGATAATTAATCGTAAGATATGTGCTATATGTATGCAATATGATAGTGATAGCGAGCAGTATTGAGAAATAATACTAAATACCTTTGTACAAATGTATACAACGACGAAGAGTTTGTATACATTTTGATTCAAGTATGTGAAGTCCCGCAAATAGTTTTAAATGATTATAAATTTAGAAATTTTTATTTTTAATATCAGTTATGACATTGAATAACTTCTCTAAAATATGTTATCATTGAAAATAATATTGCCAATTTAAAACAACGATACGATATTATGAAAAAATATTATCGTTTAGAATATTGAGGTATAATTAAGAAGATAATTTTATACAGCTCCTTGTGAATCACTTTTTCCATCGATAAAAAAACTAATTCTTCTTTCTGAATGACGAAGACTTCCTTAAACTATGTACCTGTAACTGTAACCTCTCCCCGATCCCGCATTTGCAATAGCGATTTTCTATTGATCAATTTTGCGATTTATTTATTTATAAAATCTAAGACACTTTTTGATTCATTCTTTTGGCTTGGTCAGACATGAAATCTGATAGGGAATCCCCAAAAATGGCGGGGTTACAATATGAAAATATTGATTAAAGGGCCCCAATGTCTGTTACATTTTATCCATTTAAGTCCAAGTTAGCCACTAGCGATTTACTTCGTTATTTAAATTAAAATAGCACAAATCTTTCGATATTTTCTTCGTGTATACTTCATGTTTTATACATTTTTAGGTATAGTAAAACAATACTATTCGAAAGTGAGTATCGAGTATGTTCATTGGTCAGTTCTAAAAATGTTGCGTATTATATTTTATCAACTATATTTAACATGTGCTAATTACCTATGTGTAAAATAACATCTTCCAGATTTGCAAATAACTTATTGGTTATCAGCAAATATAGGTTATCTCATTTGAAAAAGAATATTAAATGAATTTTTTTGCTGAAGTTGACTAACAAGCAGACTGTTCATAAAATTTACGAAGTATTAACAATTAATTTAGAAGTAGAGTAAAAAGTTGTGTGTAAAATATGCTACTCTCTATATTTCTCCAAAAAATTTCCAGCTGTCAAACTGGCGTCTAAAAACCATAAAATACCAGCCATGGGCAGAAGCGGGGCTAAATTGGCGCCAAAACATGCCGGTAAAAGTAGCAAATCGTCCGTATCTTCCTCAAAACCAAAGCCTACTTCATCCAAACTTCCCACGATAACTCCATCAACCTCAAGCAAAGCGTTACCTCCTTACAATTCTGGAAAGAATAAATCGTCTACATCCTTTGGTGTAATATGGCTACCAATTAGGAAACGAAGCAAACACAAAGATTATGTGTACAACGCCTATAAACCAAATGACCTAAATAAAGAACGTGCGCCATCTATGTACAATATGTAAGTATCACTACCTACTATACTTTTAATAAATTTTTATTACACTGGAGGAAACATTTAATATAATAAAAAATTTAATTTAATTTAGATAATTTCAGTTTTCTAAATAAATTTTGACAGTTAACAGAATATTCTTATAAGAAAAACACGATGTTGCTTAATAATAATAAAGTAAACGAATAAAAGCACAGTTGATATTCACACTTTGGTTTACCTAATTATCGACAGATGTCTCTATGAACAATTAGATATTCGTTCCAATAATTATTTTATCTGTGCGTCTTGGTATATAATAATATGTGGTATTAGAATTTAATTTTTAATCTGTTCTCTTTGGTGTTTGTAATCAAAAGCCCAAAACAAATCTGTAATTCTGTAAGCACTAAGCTCTGGTCTCCACTCAAAACAAAAACACAAAGCAGCAAAAAGATTTGTGAACAAAAAGTTTTTACCTATGTTCTAGTAACTAGTTGTTCTTGAATAATCTTTATATGGATCTGTAGCGTAAATGAGTTCGTATAACATGGTATTATTATAACAAGTAACTGCGAAACTTTTTTAATAAGTTCAATGTTAAAACTATATTAAGAAGATCAAAGAAGCTTAAAAGGTACGGATATCTACAAAAGTAGTACTATTTGAATTTATATCTTCTTATACATGCAATTCAATAAAGTTTAATACATTTTGTACTATACAATATATTATAATTTTAATTATATTTTATACTATGTTAAAAGCATTTAATTATATACACAGAAACTTCTTTAAAATTAAAAGTTTCAAGAGACTAGAAATAATGTTTGTTCATAATTAATAAAAAATATGAATACTAAAATGTAATCAAGTAATATTTATATAAGTTAAATGTTAAGGGGATAATGCTATAATTTTATATTTGAATGAAGTTGCATTAGAGTGAATAATAATTATTATAAACACAAAATATTTCCTTGAGCATTTTCCCAAGGTTCATCAAAATGAAGTATCAATAATATAATATTGCGGAGAAAAAACATAAAAGGAGAAAAATTAAAGTTGTGCAGAAACATTTGTGATTGTATGTGGCCGTAAAACATGATCCTTTAAATGTAGGTTAACAAACAAATTCTAAATACACACACAGGCTGAGGTTGATCTGCAATTTGAGTTGAATTTGAATTGAGTTCTCCTTAGAAATGGTCTAAGATCCCGCTGCAGGATTAGTGCGCTCATCGACTATTTGTTTAAAACCAAATTTTTATGTTTATTTATAATTAAGAGAATATATATTTACTAGGGTGCCTATCAAAATTTGGCCGCCATTATTTTTAATTAAATTATTTTTAATTGATTTTTGGTAAAATATTGCGTTCATTTATTATTTAAATAAAATAACGTCTACATCACGGTAATTAATATGAAGATTCTAAAAAATCACGGGTGCCGTTGCGTACATGGCCGCACTTCTTTGCAGCCAGGTGTAAACAGGTATGATTTCGATAAATTTATACGTTTATAACCTATTTTTATTAATTATATGTCAAATTGAAGCTAATTTTTTTCTATTAATTATCATATAAAGTTGCTTAATTAAATCTGGCCGCAAATAAGGGCTACTGGCTGTTAAAGATAATAAATATTTAAGGTAGAGTGAAAGAGAGTTAGCGCGTAACATCATTTGTCAGACGAGGACAGCGATTGTCGGCTGTGCGACGCTTTTAAGCCATTGCGCATGCGTCGAACGTTAGTGTTCTCAACCACCGGGGAGTAATAGAGACGACTTATAATAAATACTCCAAAAAATATGTAATTTTTTTCAAAATGACAAATTTAAAAATTGCAACAAAAATTAATATTGATTTGGTCTAGTTAGCAATTTGTCTAACTCCTTATTTTTTAGAGGGTGATTTTTTTTAAATTTTGATGAAGACATAATCCAATTACAAATTATTTGAATGATTCATACTTAAAAATTATATCTCTATTAGATATTAAATGGTTTTTTAAAATGATAATAAATTTTGAAGTCATTGTTTTTTTTCGTACAAATAAAAGATTCTCTAAAATGGAGTTAGATAATTTGCTAATTAGAACGTCGATATTTAATATTAATTTAAAAAATAAAAAAATAAAACCAAGGCGACTTAAGTAAAAGAAAATTTTATTGCGAAAGTATTATTTAAAAATTTTATTAGATTTTATTCAAGTAATTGATTGTCTATTACATATTAATTAAACATTTAAGCAAATTAAAAAATTAAAAAAATTAATCTTATATTTCCGTAACTCTTATTTAAAAATCTGAATCATCGGAGCTTTCTGTTGTACTATCATCGGAGCTATCACTTTCATCGCTACAAATATCAGAATCGTCGTTATCGGAAGCTTTGTTCATGGATTCACATAGCACACTATTAACTTGCGTTGGAGTTGAGTCTCCCAGGAACCATGTTGGTTTTAAAAAACCACCTAGGACCAGCCAGCCATTCTGGGCTGAATTTGTTGCAATTTTTAAATTTGTCATTTTGAAAAAAATTACATATTTTTTGGAGTATTTATTATAAGTCGTCTCTATTACTCCCCGGTGGTTGAGAACACTAACGTTCGACGCATGCGCAATGGCTTAAGAGCGTCGCACAGCCGACAATCGCTGTCCTCGTCTGACAAATGATGTTACGCGCTAACTCTCTTTCACTCTACCTTAAATATTTATTATCTTTAACAGCCAGTAGCCCTTATTTGCGGCCAGATTTAATTAAGCAACTTTATATGATAATTAATAGAAAAAAATTAGCTTCAATTTGACATATAATTAATAAAAATAGGTTATAAACGTATAAATTTATCGAAATCATACCTGTTTACACCTGGCTGCAAAGAAGTGCGGCCATGTACGCAACGGCACCCGTGATTTTTTAGAATCTTCATATTAATTACCGTGATGTAGACGTTATTTTATTTAAATAATAAATAAACGCAATATTTTACCAAAAATCAATTAAAAATAATTTAATTAAAAATAATGGCGGCCAAATTTTGATAGGCACCCTAGTAAATATATATTCTCTTAATTATAAATAAACATAAAAATTTGGTTTTAAACAAATAGTCGATGAGCGCACCAATCCTGCAGCGGGATCTCGTACTAAAAGTATTAATGCTTTTCTAAGCTGCTGTTTGTACCCATTATATACACTATTTTGGAAAATTTACACTTGCTTAGACAGTTATTGACAACCAAATTCAGTATGAAGATTTTATTGCTTGACTTACCATGTAGGTCCTATTTACCTATACATACAATAAAAATGTAGGTGATCAATGTGTGTATAAAATTTTGAAAATATAAGCAGAGTAAACTGAACATTTACTGCTTCTTACACAGTGATTATCAAATCTTTTTTAGATTGAGCTTACACAGTTATATTGAAGACATGTATATGTGTATGTTATATACAAAACAAATTTTAAACAAACATTTATAAAACTACTTAAAACTGAAATAAGACTTCTATATTTCTTTTAAAACATAATTATTATAAATTCTTCTTTAACAGTACTTAAAAATAATTATATATAACTTATACGTTTTTTAAAAATTATATTTGAAGTTGGGTCCCGTTACTAGTAAAAAGAATTAAAATTTTAACTAATCTGTTGTAGGATTTCCAAATTTTTGAAATTAAGTCTACATTTTAAATCAAAACAATATCTTAAAACGAAAGGAATTTTTACTAAATTACACACTAAAGGTAATAATTTGTATGTATTAAATTATTGTGTTTTATACTTCAGATGAAAGCCGATTAAAATAGCTGCTTTTACCTATATCAAATTAATTAAGTATTTGATTTGTTCAAATCTTAGAAAATGCAAGAAAATTTTAATTTTATAACAATAATAAACACATGGCGTAGTTTATGTGGGGAGAGCGAATTCAGAAATATTCAGAGGTAATATTGCTCATAACGAAACTCCGCATTAACTATTTATGGTGTAAATTGATTTATAAAAGTATCGCATTTCTATATTTTGTCATATCATCGCTGTGTCATATAAATATTTAGGTTACAGTTCGTTCAAAAATTAAAATCATCGCTTGTTAAGCACAATTGTCTTACAATCGCAAGATTTAGTATTTTTTAATTAAGCGATTCAACAAAAACCCTGATTTAATATTACAATTACTAACTTCAGTCATCTCTATATATATAATTAAAGGATGTCTGGTGACTCTTCAAATAATCACACCCTTCCAAAGATGGACGAGGAGTCCGTCAAGGATAAAGGACCGGTCGTTTTGGGTGGTGTAACAACGGCGGCCGCTTTGGATCGAGAACTATCTGAGACAGATGACACTTTGGAAAACCCTTTCACAGAGGACAAAGTGAGTATTACGTTGTACATGCCTTTGCATGCATGATGTCATCTCGCATAATTGTAGCTCACTACTAGAATAATTGCACTTCCATGTTCCTGCCTATGCTTTGTTTTATGTTCCTCACATCAACACCAATTATGCTAATAGTATTGTATCGCGCAGCCCGGACATACAACGGCCACAATTTAAGCCTCGACTTGTTTAAGCTATCGCGGAATATGCTTAAAAGGAGTGCTAAGAATATCCATAACGCTAAATAACCTGCATCATGAGCACACTCACATACACACCCTCACACAACACAGCCGAATTTGGTATTACTTGGGTTTGGTATTTGATAACTTTTATAGATTTTTTCCTTTCTATGTTTCGGACTATATCTTTAGTGTGTTTTGTGTTGTATATAAATTAATAATTAGTACGAAATACACGTAAAACTATACGATTATTATTAAATAAAATTAACATGAAAGATAATCTAATTAGCCGGAGGGCTATAGAAGTTGCAATCGCTCCCTTAAGAGCCTGATAACTATGATAAAATTAGGACTTCTTTGTAATATATTCTCTAAAAAGAATATTCTAGAAAATGTGTCTTTTTATTTATTATGCTGCTATTTAATTCATTGTAGAAATTTTATTGGTATTGTAATTTTAACAAAAATTTCAAGTGTTCAAAGTCTGTTTATAATGTAATTTGATAAAGTTTTTGTATAATATCAAAGTTAAACATATAGGACAAGGCCTTATCAAGGCTCTACTTCTTTTTCTCTAGAATCATATATCTCTCAACGTTAAAGCAGCGTTTGTAAGAAACGTTTTAGTTTGACCGTTTTTTCTCCAACAAATCCGACTACCACAAGTCTTAATTTTTCGGCCTATGATCCACCCAACACGATATTAGTAAAATAATTTCACAAAATTTTCCGCTGTACAATAATTATTCTAATATGGTTTTTAGGAAGCAGCTGGTGACGCAGAAAGCACTCACGGCAGTGATCTCTTGAATGAGGAAAAGTCGAAGGAAAGTGTCAATGATAATGTGGATAGTGTATTCTTAAGGCCACCTCCAGCAGGTAAAGTCCGATCAACACCGTCTACGCAAGAAGAAGACAGTTGTGGTATAAAATGTTTGTTCTACACATTGCAGTGTTGTGATTGCGTACTTATGTGATTTGAGGCGCTTAATGTATACAGGTGTACTAGGCGCTAAATGTACGGAGAAACGTAGGGTAAAGGGCTCGGTAAGTGTGGAGCTTAATAGCTTATGAAAAACGATGTTAGGTCTAGTTTATATTACGTGGTTAATGAACTTATAACTTATGTTTCGTCAAATATTCGTGTACGTAAGAAACAAGATCTTGACAGTAAAGCATTGATTCTAGATACATTTTGTACTATTTTATTATTATATTGCAAACGATTCGTGTTTTCTTTTAGTTTTGTTTATGCTCTGCGTAAGTCTCCATACAAAATCCAAACAATATTATTCGTATACCTTAGTATAAAGGTAAGATTTTGAATCAAGATTCTTACACTCAGTTATCAAATAAACAATCGAAATTATGTTGAATAATTCTGTACTTTCGATCTTTCATGTTACGATTAATTCACTTGCGTAATTTAAATGCGGAGTAATTTATTAAAAAACGTGGGCTATAGTAACGTTTTTGTTATCATGGTTATGTTGATTTTCTATATAAAGAGAATAGTAACTTTATAGTCCACGTTTTACAATAAAAACGTTTCAAATTGTTTTAGTGTATCCTCGATAGGTTCCACTTTAATTAATAAAATGTATAGGATCTTTATGTAAATCTTAATTCTTTAAATTTAAGAAATTTTATTAACTTTAACTGGATTTGAATGTATTTAAAAAAATATATTTTAGTTGCTTTAAAATTAAGACAAACCGAATTGATTTTCCTCGCACAAATTAAATAATAAAATCGAGTAACCTATGACTTAAACTTGGACTAAGGATAGTGATAAGACTACTAACACGTCGCTTGTGGGTGTTTATGGGGTCGTTTGCACCCCTATCATATAAAACTGTCTAGCATGTCAAACACGGTAACCATGGCAACAAATATTATTTTATATAACGTTTAATATTTTTGATTGCTCTTTCGATCCAGTTATAAATGATACTCATTGTAAAAATTTGTTAAAATATTGAACAATACTCCAGTGAATCTATTAAGATGCTCGAACTAATATTATTAAGATATTTACATGTATTTCTGATATTATGTAATTTTATATGATTTTTGAGTTTTTATAGACAGGGTAAAAATGTGCCAAAATCAAAGCGTTCCTTATAGATCTGATAAAAACATTTTTGTATGACTATATCGGTGATTAGAATATATCTGATTCTCAATGTGTATGCATCCTACCCATTTATATCAACTTCAAAATTAATTAAAAATTTTAACAAAGTATTAAAAGTTTGCATCTGGTTTTTTTTGTTCTCCTCTCCTGACATTGTGTCCAGGGATTTTTTTACAACTCTTATATTCTTACGTCTCGCGAGATACACCCCGGATACTTTTGTTTTTAAAGAACAGGGGGCGGGAGGAGGCTCACCTGATGCTAAGTGATATCGCCGCCCAAAGACACTCTTAATGCCAGAGGGCTCGCGAGCGCGTTACCGGACACATTTCTATTTGAGGCAGCAATACGATAGAACCATTTCTAATTTTAACAACGATGTAAAAAATCTGATTTAAATGAAAAACAGCGCTGGTACTAAGGGAACGTTCACGTATTACATAACGAATTTGGGGGGGGGGTCCTTTTGTAAAACGTTACGATACGGGGCGGGGATTGAATTACGATTTATTGTTAATATTATTTTCTACTTTCTACCACATAATGGTAACTTTTAGGTATAAAGAGTCACTAGGTGGTCAGGAAACGTTTTATTATACTGGGGTACAGACAAACGTTACGGCGCGTTACATGGGGGGGGGGGTCTATAATCTCCAAAACTTGCGTGACGTAATACTTGAACGCTCCCTAATGTATAGAATGCAATTTCGATTCGTACCGCGCAATCATGTTTGCGACATCAGCAATATATTAAGAACTATACCGAGATAAATTATAAAACATCGGGATCGCTATAGGCAGAATAAGGTTCCGTCAGGAGGTTGTCAAGGGGTAGGAGCTAGATAGGTAGGTAGAGAAAAGTAACATGTAAACACAGTAGCATAAGATTATAAGAAGGTTTTTCGACTGTAGGAGGGGTCGCTGTCCCTACTGCCCCCCTGGCGACGGGCTTGACGCAGGTGCTGTTTTTGAAAATGGCATATAAATAACACTACCCAAAATGTTTGGCGTAATTTTTAATGTTTCCGTCCAAATGATTTTGTAGTTATTTATGTATTGTAATAGATTTATGATATTTTGTAGTAATAAATAAAAATATTACATTTTTGTTTTATTGTAATCCTATTGAAAGCTTGATATTTATTATTAAACGAGTCGGAACGTTCTTACTAGGTTACTAGTTGACTTTAGAAATCTTGATGTATTGCGATACTTATTCGTTGAGGGAAGCACCAGCTCTCTACCAGGCGCCAACTTAAATCTATAATTAGCGCCTGTGCATTTGAATAATGTATAATTAATATATGGCTATTGAAAACACAGTTTATTTCAGACATTTATTAAGAAGTATACAGTAAATGCAATAAAAACATAATTTTTATAACAATAACCCAACAATCATTAAATGACACCCGGTTTCTATGTAAAATACCAATACGAATTTCACAATATGTATATATAGAGTACGCCTCGTGCAACGACCGATCTTTGATATAGAAACCGAGCATTAATTCAATCTGTACATAATCTATTGCAATCTACCACCAAGATTACATTGAATTTTCGTCTTAATGTGTAATTTACAATGCAAAAAGTTAACCATACATGGATAGAATGAAGAAATTTTTCCAGAAATAGCGTCTGATATCCAATGTTACACAAATTTTAAAGTATGATATATATGTAAGCGAATATTATAAGCGACAAGACTGACAAATAATAGGTAACACTGTACAAGGTGATACCCCCGAATTTGGCATTACACTAGCGTCTACGTAGTACTTTATGCCAGAAAAAAAATAGCAGCGCTTTTTATCTTTAGTTTGTTTGTGTGTTTCGTGATTAATTGGTTTATAATAGACAATGGATTGCCTCACGATGTATAGCCAGGGATCGAACCTACAACCTCAAAGGTGAGAGTGGCACGCTGAAGGCTAACGAAAAAACAAATCGCAATTAACTCATGAGAAGAACGCAATCATTTTCATTTGTTTAATACAAAGGTATACTGGCCACTTTTGGATGCATGATAAAACTTTGTGTAAAACAACAAAAAATATCGTAAAAATGTGTAACCCAAAAAATATATAATCTGTTCAGTATTTAAAACCTACGTTCCAAAGGTACAGAATAAAATTCTTTTTAAATGAGTAAAAGCAACGGTACTTTTAATTTGCATTGTAAAATACACTTTATACAACAAATGTTTTTTCGCGATAATTAAAGTAATAAATCTTGCGTGAAAGTTATTCGCATTTGAGTCTGACAAGCTTTCTATTTTTGAATATATTTCCTTGGTAACTAAATTATTTACAAAATTGACTAAAAAATTACCTAAATGTAAAATGATTTTGCATTTTCTAAAATAACAATTGTACTTAAAACGAATGTTGCAAAGTGATTTTTTCTATTTTTTGTAAAAAAATGTAAAATATATTTTACTTATTTGTAGGCTCCCTTTAAATGCTTAAATGGTTCGTGTTTCAGACGTGACTTAAAAATAGTTTGTTATTAATTACAAATTTCGGTACAAACAAAGGTACGGACTGAATCATATCGTATAATATCGAACACACTGCAAAACTAAGATAAAATCAACAAGTGAAGAAAATTATCTATAATTATAATAAATATAATTTTTCTAAGTACATAAGTAGATTGAAAATTGCACAAGTATGAGGAACTAATTGGAGCATCAAAGTTAAGTAAGAGACGGTTATATAGCTCCATCTCTTTCCAAGAAACCAATGTTTTGATATTTAACTCACAACACACAGATGAAACATTTCAAAATGTCGGAAAGATTTTACATGATCTTTAATTAGGTTGATTACATTGTATTTACGTTAAATATATGTTAGACTACTTACCTAGTTATCAGCCTGAGGCCATAATATCCAAATTGTATGACACAAGTTATCCTATTATGCTATAAACTGTCATCACATTATATCATATGTCATTCTAATATACCATTAGCTGTCATTACACTATGCCATACATTGTCATCCAAGAATACCACAACCCGTCATTCTAGTATCACAAACTTGTCAACATTGGTGGAAAAATGTAATTTAAACCCTAGTTTGTAGCACTAGAATTTAATTCCTGTCTCATATACATTCATATAAAATAAGTAAACTCCATTAATTCATACACCTAACTAGATATATTTTTGGTTTAGAATAAATAAAAAATGACTACACTTTAGGTCTAAAGCCAAAACACATTTTAACAATAGTTAAGAATTATTCTTCCCGTCATAAAAAAATACATTTAAAAAAAATTCTCGCATTTAATTTGAGCTATATCAAAATTGTCCTACAACATGAAAATTACGTACAAAAAACTTTAATATCAGGATTGTAAACTGTAATATAAATACAAAAATATAAATTAACTAAATTCCAAAATCCTATCAAGACCATCAGCCCGACATCAAGCTCATTAAGTACCTATATATGAAATGTCACTAAGCGCGAACTGCGAAGTTTATATACATAATATATTGTTGTATTGTAACCTCCATAACATTCGTGCTAAACCCCTCAAATTAATTATACCTCAAACTTGTCCATAACCGTCAAGTTTTAAACTGTCATTTTTTGACAGCGCGCTTACGTTTAGTTATACACACGCTACATTAAATTTGCTATTTGGGGTAAACAGTTTGAAAAAGTTGTCGACAGATTTTGTTTGAGAGTATACGCCCAGTTACTGAAACGGAACGCAAAAATGTGTGCGTACAAATTCATTTGCTAAAAGCATTACTGTTAACGATTTGAAATCAAACATATTCAATACGTGTCGTAGTCTCTAGGGGTGGGTTTTTAGAAAACCATTAAATACGCTAAATAACGACTCGTTGCATTTATGACTCGTATTTTAATTATACAAGGGTCGTTCCAGAAACTGGGCTATTTATTGTATTTTATTGAATTAGTTATTATGTATCGGTAGCGGGTGTGCCTCACTGTTGAATACATATTTGCTAAGATCGATCATGTATCTGAAACAATGTATACAACATTAATATGCTATGTGCATTAAAAAATATAACCACGGTCATATTTGAGTTCAATGAGATCACGTCAAAACCAAAATATCATCTATATATCAAAGTCAACCTCGGAAAATTTATAGAAACATTTGTTTTATGCTTTATTTCTGGTGTTAATCACTTGAATTCAGTTAGACGTTACTTTAAAACCTACGAAGCATACAAAGATATCTACAGAATTTAAAACCGCGATCTCTCTAGAATCCTTTCCTCTGATGAAGGAATTAATATTTAAATGGATATTTTCGAAACGGTCAACGTGGTCGAGTATTTAGGAACAAACCACAGAGATTTCTTTATATAATCTCATTCGGTAATATTCTAATTATGAAATGAAATACAGACTTTTATTGGCATATTTTATGTATATACTTCTTTAAGAAAATTAAAAAATTAAATTAAAGCATTATTCTCCAAACAAAACAAAGCTTTAAAACAATTTTTAAATTATTAAAGTACAATGGAGGAATCCCGACCAAGGAGGTTTCAATTTCAATTTAAGTACACATTATCTGTAGTGAGCGCGCTGGTTCCGAGCCAATAGCCCAATAACAGACTTTTTCCATTTTGGCGCTATTTCGTACATACGAATTTGAGTAATATTTTGTTGGATAAAACTTTAGTAGCAAAAATCTCAAGCAACACCGACGATACCGATGAAAATTTAACTCCACCTGATATTCTAGAAACAGTACGAAACTGACGAATAGTCTTTTGCCAGAAAAATCAAGAAAAGCGTACGACAAATGTTACCAAGACTTTATGACTTGGAACCCTATAGCCATGAGATTAAATAAAGTAGTGTATGCAACTGCATATAATTAGGTATTAAAACACTCGTGCAATCTTATTTTGAAACTACTCTCATGTTTATATACCCTCTATTATATGACAGTTGCATAGACTACTATTTTGTGACATTATAAGTTTAGGAATATATTATATATGATCAGATGTCTGTACGTAGTTGGTCCCAAAGTTCTGTCACTAGCAAATTATTTCTACATTTCGGGCAGGATTTTATAAAAAAATTATTGCATTCTATTTTGGAATGTTTGATTATTGTTTTAAAACAAAAAACAATAACTTTCCGTAATTTTTCACGATGGAGTGGACATTGAAAGTAAACCGAATAGTTGTTATTGCGTTGCACCGCTGTGGACACTCGCCGAGTACCATTTTCAAGTTGCTCAAAAATTTGAATATAACGCTTAGGTTTGTGTACGGTACTATTGATAGGTACCTTGAAGTCTCCAGTGTTGAGGACAAGAAAAGAACTGGCTGGCCACGCTCCGCAAGAACACCAGCAGTAATCAAAGCTATCAAGGCGCGGATAGTAAGAAATCCTGTCCGAAAACAGAAGTTGATGGATTTGCAGATGGGTGTCAGTAGGAAAACAGTAAAAAAGGTTTTAAATGAAGATCTTGGTCTACGAGCATACAAAAAAAGAGTGGGCACTTACTTAATGCTCGTCTAAAAGCAATAAGGCTTAAGAGATCGCGGGTGTTGTTTAAACGGTACGCGAAAAACCGACACCGTGATATCCTCTTTACGGACGAAAAATTTTTCGATATTGAAGAGAAGTACAATAAACAGAATTATACAGTGTACGCTAGGAGTTCTGAAGAAGCTGAAAAAAAAGTTCCAAGGGTGAAACATGGACATCATCCATCATCAGTAATGGTTTGGTTGGGAGTGTCCTATTACGGGCTAACTGAGGTTAATTTTTTCGAAAAGGGGGTCAAAACCAGTGCTACAGTGTACCAAGAGACGGTTTTGTATCGCCTTGTCAAAGACATGTCCAGCACCCTATTTGCGGGACATCACTTCGTGTTCCAGCAGGACTCTGCGTCTGCATACAAAGCCAAGACCACTAAAGCCTGGTTTGAGCGTCAAAACATCGTCTTAATTAGACATGAGGATTGGCCTTCCTCCAGTCCGGACCTTAATCCTTTGGACCCGAAAATTATGACAGGGCTTAGAGAGGAAGGTCTGTGATAAACCTCATGAAAATTTGGAGAATCTGAAGTCATCTTTAAAAAAAACAGTGACTGAAATCGACACGAATATGGTGCGTGCTGCGATAGACGACTGGCCGCGACGCTTAAGGGCCTGTATTAAAAATGAGGGAGGTTATTTCGAATATTTTTATGCTTTTTTTTATTCCTTAATTAATGTACTAAGAATTGATATATCACTCATTACAAACTGATCAGTACTTTTGTTTTTATCATTATTTCCATTTATGACAGAACTTTGGGACCGACTACGTATATGTTTCGTGAATATTTTTAAGAGGTAATCAGCCTTCTGCTTTTCATGATAAATTTTCTGTGTCTTATTTCACAATCCTTACGATGTTTTTCTTCAATGCACGTGTCTTAATTGCGCACACACAAAAGTCCATTGCACAGCTCGGATTCGAACCTACGCTGATAAGATCTCAGATAAGCTGCCAGGTTTGGATTAAATAGTGTAGTGGTCAACCGAGGCATAATCTTACCTATCATCGCTGAAAAGAAGGTAGAGGTACTTCAATGTCTCCGATAGGAAGAACGACTCCATCATGTCTTTAGGTGAAGGTTTCTCGGTCTTCACGTTGGTTAGAGATGTGTAACCACGAGGGACCCGCGCGTACTTTTCAATACCCTGAAAGAAAGCTTTCGTATTTATTGTGCTCTAAAATTATTATTAAAAAAAACTTTGAACGTCAATATTAAAAAAATACTATAGTATGCCCAATTTAATAAATCACATTTGGCATACATCAATTCCGATTAAATATTTATTTTAATAATAATAGAAGGTAATTTTTATCACCTTTTACTAATAAACCTTTCTGTTCTAAATATAACTGAATGCTACAATCATGCACCTAAACTAATTATTTTTAAACACAATACAATAACATAACATATCCCAAGGATATTAATTTAAATTTGATAAACGATTATAATGATCACTTGTGAAGAAAGTTTCATAAGTGATATTTTTTGGTAATTTTTTTTTCCTATAATAGAAATAAAAATTCAGTAGGTTAGGTATAAGGTACTTTTTCAAAATATCTAATTCGATTCGCGTATGTTGATACCCTCATTCACTTTATATACGCTATGGGGCTACAACTGACAGATGTCAAGTGAGATCTATTAAATTGCTCGTACAGTCAAATAATTTTAAATCACAATTTTATCCTTGCATTTTTGTCATAATAATAAAAACACTTTGCATCACAATAACACAAAACTGGAGAAAAATAAAATAAATGAAAGGATGTAAATGCGCGGTATTACTGCTAAAATCAGTTTCTTACAGGCAACCGTATAAATAATATAATTTTAATGTCGTAATAATGTGGGGACACGAAACACGCGGTTTTTGTATCATTAAACGTACATTATATTAAAATTGAATGCCGAAGTAATTATTTATTTAATTTATTTATTAAACGGGCTATTTATCGGCAATTTTGTTTTACAATGAAATTGGTAGGAAATAATAAATTTCGTGTTTATATTTGATTATTTTATTTAGTTTTGTAATGTGTAAAATTTAAAAAAGATTGGAGTATGCCAAAGGGCTATCTATGGAGCGCTCCATTTTTCAATTGAAGCTTAAAGACAAAATAAAAAACAAGGTGATACGAAATCGTACAAAAATAAAAGATGTTGTAACTTATACAAAAAGGCTAAAATGGAAATGGGCCGGTCACATTGGCCGCATTTGTGATGGCATATGGGTCAAAAAGACCCTTACTTGGAAGGGCCCAGTGGGAAAAAGAAAGAGAGGATGCCCACCGAAAACTTGGGAAGACGATATAAAAGGGATAGCGGGAAAAAACTGGAAAATTGTCGCATCAAATAGGGATAAGTGGAAGAATCTGGAGGAGGCCTTCACTCCATCGGAGGTCGAGTACAAGTGTAAAACTCAAAAGACATGGACTTACTGTAGTTATAGTGTACTCGAATAAAGGCTATTTTTATTTTATTTTATTTATTAATGTGTAAAATTTACGTCATATTTTGAAGCTTGTTTGAACTTAAATACACATTATATTTCACCATTAGAATTAATTAAGTGTTATTTATATAAGAAAAATATTGAAAAAATGGTGCTTATTATCAACGTTATTTCGTTACTAAAACAATAAACATACCATATAAACTTGCCAGCCCCAATCCTGGTACGTAGTGTTGCCAGTTAATTGGTACATCACATACAAACTCTCGACAAATTCGGGCCGCAAAAGGCTGTGTGCATCCGACAACTTTGTGAACATATCTTCGGTACTACTGCTACCCTGGTAAGTTAATTCACATTGTTATTACTAAATTTATAGTTTGGAACTCTCGCCAAAATTAATATAACACATCTTCCGCATTACTGCAATCCTAGTATTTTTACTTCAAAGATATTAAAAATAAATTAATATCTGACAAGTCAGCGTTTATTGATATTACCTTAACTAAATATAAAATTGTCTAAGAAGTATTTATATATAACATACTGACATATGGTTTGCAAATGCAAATTAAAAGTTAATACGCCACTATTGGCTACGTGATTGTTTCCGATCGTGGCATAATTGCTTAATTCATTTGACTTTTGAAACATTAAAACTGCGGTAGATAGAGAATAGGTCGAAAATATTTGTATTCGCATTCAATAAAGCGTATTAAATAGGCCAGCAACGCACGTGCGAGCTTTCTGGAAATGGGCTATATCGCTTAACAAATGCCACCTGGCGGTTGTTACACCCTAATTCTATAAAAAAAACTTACAATATTAAAATGCGTAATTTCTGGTGCCATGAAGGTCGGATGAGCTGCGTAGGTCAAGTAACATGTGTGTATTAGTTCTTCTGCCATTTCCAAGTGCCAATCCGGTAGACCATTAGCATGGCCTAGTGCCAATGTACCAGGCAGGAAACAGGTCAAATGGTCCATTTTCGGATAAAACGCCTGCGTATTCATAGTCTATTTTGAATAATGATGTTTCTTTCAACAATTATCCTTTTAAAATACAACAGATAGTCATAAATTAGCTGCAAGGGTATTCTAAAGTTGACTAGTTACCCAATAACATAACTTAATAATTAATCTTAAGAAAATACAGCTAAGGATTTTTAGAACCATAATCATCTCTGAATAAATTTAAACAATTAAGTTACGGGCTAACTAACTGAACTGGGAAACATTTTAATAAATACTTTATATTACCTCTGATCCCGTTGTTAATTCGCCAATAAACAGTCTTTTATTTGGCACAGACCTACGTGCAAGGAACTCACGCACACCTTCTATCGCAGTCAAATAATCGTCTCGCAAACTGTAAAGATAAAAAAACCACTACAATCCTATACGTCTTATTCAGATATTTGTTCGTTCTTTTGTTTTCTCTAAGGCAAGAAGGTGATCAGGCCGTGTCTGACTATTGATTTTCGAATCTAATGCATGCCGGTTTCCTTCCTGCTCCTTAAAATCGAATAAAAAGTATTTTCTAAACTATCGCATATAAAATCATTTACATATTTAAAGTACTCATTCGTCTCTTACAATCATAGCGTAAAGATAATATGACAGAAAGAGACAAATTCATGGATGGTTATGGATGTAATACATTCACGTGTACGTAATTTAAAAAGATTTTTTGGGTAAAAAGTTTTAATAATATATTTTAAAGATAGTTATTGTTTTTCTGTTATTTGTATTTACAATTTTCTTAACCTACAAAGTAATATTAAAATAATTAAAAATTGTTTATATTTATATGCGGTCGGAATCATTTTGTTAGCGCGTTTAAAAGTACATCATCCCAGTGATTCCTAGCCGAAAAACAATCTTTAAAATCGACAATGGTGTTATTTTGTACACTATATCTGATACATATTGATTCCAAATTTTTTTATTAAATAAATGACTTATTTAAATATCTCAAAAAATACTCACTAATTCATTGTCTTTCCGGTCTGTATCCATTGTTTGAGCAAGTATTCATAATAACTGTCACCGCGTGCGCCGAGCGTGATCGTTGCGTGCGGTAGAAATTGACCCGTATTGGGATTGATGAATATTGGTACCAGACCATGTTTCTTCGGCAATTGGTGAAGTTTCTCGGACACTGCCGCAGCTGCGTCCTATAATATACCGATATTTATAGTCCAAGCAGAAAAGATCAAGTTAAAAAACAATATTTCCATACTTTTAGTGTATAAATAAGAAAATCTACAAAGTGTTTGCTTAAAATACATGAGTTAAATCCAGGGTGTCCAATTATGTTATACCTCAAAAGCAGGGTTATCAGATGCCCTTGAAAGTTCCCGAAATTCCAGTTGAACAGTGCTGATCTCAGATGTTGAACTGTAGTGAGACCATTCTGGGACATGGGCCGTACGTGCTCCTAGATTCACGTCCGAGTAAGGAATGCCAGATGGCGATGAGAACGCCGCCATAAGACGCTCGCCAAGATCTTTCTGTAACATTATTAATAATAACTTACAACCATAGCTCATAATTAATAATAAGAAGATAAAAATTTAATTAGAAGAATTACCTCTGGCTATTTAACTATTAACCCTCCCGATTATAACGTTGAGTAGAGAGCAATAATATTAAAAACACAGAACACTAAAATTACTGCAATAGCTTATAGAACCAGAGCTAACTTGGCTTAGACCATGGGAATTGTTAAATCGGCCTTCTGAGCGACGAATGACGTAATAATCTGCATCTCATTTTCTAATAGTCGATAATCACCCTTATGTGCCTGATATAATGGATCCTCAAGGTCGATAACAAAACTCCGTAAACGAAAGTAAATTGTCAAAGTGACAAACGACAAATGCTGTAATAATCTACATCCACAACATTAACCCTCTGTTTAAAACCATAATTATCTTAATTAAAAAATAATACGGTTTCTTATTCAAATTTATTTATTTATTTATAGCCGCAACAAGAAAAAAGAAGCAAACACAAAGAAGCTAATCCTTATAATATATCAATAAGTTTTTATATATAAAAATTACAAAATATACCATAGATATAGAGTGATAACTGAACGCCCTTCCTATAAACGGACAGGCAGTCCGAAAAAAAAACATTTTGCACATTCTATACATCATTATATTCTAAATTCCTGCTTAATCGAGATTTTGTAATTCATGTTGTTATTTTAATGCACACTTAGTTAATCTATTGTTTTTTTTTAAATTTAATATTGACAATTCCTTTGTAATTTGCTTTGCACTTGCTTTTTTCTGATTAGTGTTGTCTGGAAGATATCTTTTGTTTATATGTAGCCACTAGAGATCATATTAAATACTTACAGCTTTTTCAAGGAACATATCATCGCCAGAGAAATGATAGTTTGTTAACAGAGCGCCCAACACCCGTATCGTAACTTCGAAGAAATTAACATCTTTATTTTTTGTGAATTCCAGTTCATTTTTTATCCATTCACGACCCTCTTCAAACTCTGCAAATAAACAATTAAGAGAGGATAGTTCTTTATAGACTAAGGTACAGAAACGAAATAGATTTTTTATTTGAGTTAAATTATGTTTATATCCGTTTAATTCTGTGTACATTAAGTATCATTCGGAATTATAAAATGGTCAATAATACTGTAAAAATATTTTAATACGACAACTTTTATTAGTTTTTTGAAGTGAAACTTCTTTATCGAGGTTGGAAAAAAATTTAGTGTAACATTTTTTCGTTAGGCGTCACATTTTTCGGTTACGCGCCATGTTGCTTTTTGAAGTCAAACTTCTTTATCGGCGTTGGAATGAAACTTCTTTATCGACGTATGGGAGAAATTTTGTAGCAAATCGTCACGTTTTTCAATGATAGTAATAATTCTATTACAATTAATGAAATTCTATAATAATCGTCGTAGTAATAAGGTAAAATGAAATATTTGTATTCATGTCTATGATAATAAAAGCCTTTTGTTAAACTTTATCTAATTTAACGAATTTCTGTAAAGTTGCATATAGTAGATCATTTTTCGAAAAATAAGATCATAAAGAAGTTTCACTTCTTACGTGTGTACACCTAGTACACGCACAATTTATTATTATTTTTTTAATATAGAGTTTAGAATGGTCTATGGTATGCACCATCTTGTATAATTTTTATGTAAATGTTTTTTTAATTCAAAGGCCGACAAAGCGACCGGCTGTATCCAAAGGCTCACTAAACATCACACTCCTGCCCCAACATTTTTTTAAACAAAATTTTAATTCAATAGACAAGTCAGCCTACCTTCAGTAAGTCCCATAATAAATGCTGTGTCAAGACCATCGACTATAGTTAGTCCTAAAGAAAACCAATCGGACGAAGTGCCCGACACAGGTTTTAAATTATCATGGCCCCAAGCGTGCACCTTGTATCCTTTCCAAGCATGTTTGAAGCTTTGTACGACGGCGTATTGTTTTGCATTCGACGGTCCTAGAAATAGAATTAGATTCATTCTTGTTTATCCACTTTTTTTCTTATCTGTATAAAACAAGGCTTTAAAAAGCGTTATGGTCATAATATAAATAATCTTAAATTATCGTGATTCATGTGCACTTTTTACTTTTTCATGTATCCTTTATTAGTTTAGTTTGTATTTTTGCACTTCTTGCCTACCTTATCTAATTTAATACATTTTTTTTCTTTTCTCACAGTGGTTGCCTGGAAGAGATCGCTCGAAAGCGATAAGGCCGTCAATTGCCCTTTCATTTAATTATGTTCAATTTTTATATTGTAATGCAATGAAGTGTTAAAAAATAAATTTAAAAAATAATCATTAATTTTTATAAAAATAATTATTGAGTTTTATACAAAACGGACACAGATTAGACAATGACGCAGCTTGATTGTAATGTATTTTTAGTTTAATTTCGTCGGAAACTGTTTTTGATCCTGATACTATTTAATATTGTATTTGTGTAATTTAAGAATGATAATTAACGTGTAAAAATATGGCGTCATAATCACCCAACTCCGGATTGACGTTAATTTATGGGACACGTGTATAACATCCACGAACGAGTTGAATTCAAATTTCCCTATTTGCTCTATAATACTCACTACAACACGGGTTAAACCGCAGTGTACAGCTAGTCTACTTTGTTGCTCACAGTACTATTAGTTCATAATAGTTCGATAGTAATTTTGATATGAAATTTAAAATATTACCATAATTTTATGAAATAAAATGGCGCAAAGCAAATATAAATTATATTAGTACGCATAAACCTCTCGCCTGTTCTCTTTCCGATGTAAATTTATAATTAATTTAACTTATTTTCTGACGTTCATATGTGTACTTGTTTACCTATATGAATAAAGTTATTTTGACTTGACTTGAACACAGTTTAGTAGATACTTGTTAAATGTTACTTTATAATACCTGTGAATATAGGCCTTTGGTTAAAATCAGTCTCAAATAACAGTACTTCCTTCTTCAATTTCTCAGATGTCGCAGATTGCTTCAATTTCAGGAGCAATGACGAATTTATGGCATTTGCCTGAAAATTTTTGTAAATCGTTACAGCAATGTATTTGATAATGGCAAGCTAAAATCAACAAGTGGTATTACAATTCAAAACATATATTTTTTATCTATATCAATAGAATAATTTACTTTTTATTTGGTTAGTCTATGGAATGTTACATTCCCAATGGCCAATTCTCGTAAATTTAAATTCAAATGTCGTAACCATGTTTCATGTTATGAATGCAAAAAAATATATATTAACTCCAAGTTTAAAAACAATTTTTCTTGTTTTTTTTATTTACTAGGGAATTAATGACTTACTGTGAAACTTTGTTCATTAGATATGATTGATGACAATCCATACACAAAACAAAATATAGCTAATAGTATAAGTAAGCCCAACACTAAAGTCCTTTGCAATCGAGAAAGTTGATTCCATTTCTGAAATAAAAATAATCTATATATATAATATAAACCTCAGAGTTCAAGTCATAAGATTTTAATTAACAAATAAAAGTAGATATCATAAAATAATAAAAAAAAATATATATATATATATAGTATCGAATCAGACGACGACCTACTGAAGTACCTAAAAACAAACAAACAAACAAACAAACAAAAAAAAAAAAAAAACTCGACCAATTGTAAATAATGTAAGAGACAAGCACATAATATAGAAAATGTTTAATATAATTCACACCCATGCTAAGCCGGTGAAGCTTGTGTTATGGGTACTAGGTAACGGATATACATACATATAAATACATATTTAAACACCCAAGACCTAAGCACAACACCAAATGATGATCATCACATTGATGTTTGTCTCAGCCGGGGGTCGAACCCGGGACCCATGGATTTGCAGTCAGCGGTACTAACCACTAGACCAATGGGGCGTCAAATGTAAAATTATTATATCATCGTATTCGTAATAATAATATCTTAACTTATTCGCTAGCAACTCACCGGGGTCGGTTGGTTAACCGCTGCGATTCGACTTCGGTTCACAACACAATACACATCATAATATCGCCACCGGCAGCCACTGCACCACGAAATGCGAAATGCGAAATTAAATGCGATGCGATGCGATGCTAGAAGGTACATAGACTTTCTCTCTGTATAGAGCACTGCACATCACAACAATCACACACGACACCACCGACGACGACACCACCACCGCCACCATTTCTTCTTCTTCTTCGCTATAACAACAATAATTACTGACTTTTATTAATTAATTCGCCCGCTCGAGATGCGCCTCTCCGCCGCCGCCCGACTGCCCGACTTGACTGGCAAATTTGCATTTCTTTTCTATGCAATTATTAACAGATGTGGTTTAACGTTTTATTAGGTGCAATAAAACTTACCAAGCAAACAATAGAGAGCCAAACCCCGCCCCTGCCCCCGCCGCCGTCTGGCTACCTATATACATATTATGCATAATATTCCTATTTATTTAATACACTTATTGTTACTATAGTACACAATAAACAAAAAACATGAAACACGTAAATAGGTAAATTTAATTTTTTTTTTTTTTTTTTATTATATTAATAAAATCTGTTATAACGACATCGAAGGGACTAGGTATGTACTCATATTTGGTCGTAAAAACCGATAGTCGTTGTCATAGTAAGTACCTAATTACACACTTTATTTTGGTCTTTGGTTAAATAATCTGGTTTTCTTTTTTTTTTCTTTTTTTTTTTAAATAATAAATGTATGTATGTATGTATGTATGCATACATAAATTACGTCCGCGCTCTCCCTCTCGCTCTCTCTCACTATCGCTCGCTCGCTCAGCCGGCGGCACCCAATCGCGTCTAATAGCGTTGAGTTGTCGACCTCGTCTCTCGTCACACCAGGCCGGTCGGTTGAATACAGTCCGAATTTATATAAAAGAGAATTCAGAGGTTGTTGGAAAAAATTTTTGTCACTTCTTGACGTTTCGTTTTCGAGTTGTGTAGTGTACAAGTGTAAACATACAAAATGTCCGGACGTGGTAAGGGCGGCAAGGTCAAGGGGAAGGCAAAGTCGCGTTCCAACCGCGCAGGTCTCCAGTTCCCGGTCGGTCGTATCCACAGGCTGCTCAGGAAGGGCAACTACGCCGAGAGGGTGGGTGCCGGTGCGCCGGTCTACCTCGCGGCCGTTATGGAGTACCTGGCGGCCGAAGTGCTCGAGTTGGCCGGTAACGCGGCCCGTGACAACAAAAAGACCAGGATCATACCGCGTCACCTGCAGTTGGCCATACGCAACGACGAGGAGCTCAACAAGCTGCTCTCCGGCGTGACCATCGCGCAGGGCGGTGTACTGCCCAACATTCAGGCGGTCCTCCTCCCCAAGAAGACCGAGAAGAAGACATAAATTAGAACAATTTTGTCTAATTGTTTGTCTACATCGTTGTCATCTCGACGACCTAAAAGGCCCTTTTCAGGGCCGCAATATGATTCATTAAATTGTTAGATAAATGTTTCAGCGATTATATACGTTCGACGTCACGATTATAATATACTCGGTAATAGAAAACATAAAACAGACAAAATATACACCTATATAAATTATTAAGAGACACAAATCTCTTGCAAAATAAAAAGAAATTATTGCAATATTGTAAAAAAAAAAAAAAAAAAAAAAAAAAGATATCGAGACTCGTATCTATAGAGTTTTATATATTTTTTTTTTTTTTTTTCGAGTTAATATTGAGATAATATTATTTACTTAACAATAATAATAATAACAAAATTATGAGCGAACACGTAAACAGGCTAATCCAATCAGTAATAGAAAATAGACAATACATACATATAGGCACACTATGTATTTATTTCTAAATAACCATATTATTATTTGTCAGAGCGAGACGGGAGAGAGAGACAGAGACGGAGATATACATAATGTTCACTCCCCTCTCGTGGTAACGACGTCGTCGATTGGCCGCCGCGAATAGTATCACATGTAACACCGGACCCGTTGCAAGAACACTTTCAAAGTGAAGTATACTGAAGTGAAGGAAAATTTTCCCAAAATTGTTCATTATCATTGTGTTAGTGGCTGTGTGTGTTGTTGCTGATTGCTCTATCTCACGTTCACTATGCCACCAAAGACCAGCGGTAAGGCGGCCAAGAAGTCCGGCAAGGCACAGAAGAACATATCCAAATCGGACAAAAAGAAAAAGAAGCACAAGAGGAAGGAGAGCTACGCCATTTACATCTACAAGGTGCTCAAGCAGGTGCATCCCGACACCGGTATCTCTTCGAAGGCGATGTCAATCATGAACTCGTTCGTGAACGACATCTTCGAGAGGATCGCGGCGGAGGCGTCCCGTCTCGCGCACTACAACAAGCGTTCGACGATCACGTCACGCGAGGTGCAGACCTCCGTGAGGCTCCTGCTGCCCGGCGAGCTCGCCAAGCACGCCGTCAGCGAGGGCACCAAGGCCGTCACCAAGTACACCAGCTCCAAGTGAGCGTCGCGGCGGCGGGGTGGGACAACGGCGGCTGCTGATTGACAATCATCATCATCAATATACACCGAGTACCGCCGACCAACCAAACGGCCCTTTTCAGGGCCACAATATCTTTCCGAACAGTATGGTGTGTACGCACCATATAGTTTCAACGACAAGCGTCAAATTATAAATAAATCATAATCTCTAATATTATCTAGTATATTCAGTATAATAAAAACTATCATGAAAATGAAATATTAAATATTGGTTAGCCTTAGTAGAACTAAAGGTAATAAAAATAAAAATAAAAAGCAAGCAAACAAACAAACACTTACATACTTATGTAAATATACATACATAACAATATTATATATAAATGTTATCCACTGACCAGTGATAGGTAGTGTAACGTGTATAACTAACTGTAAATTAACAACAAATCAATATTAGACAACAACCGACGAATAATGTCAGTTAGTTATTTATTAAAGTAAGGTAAGGCGGCAAAAACCCCCCCCCCCCCAAAAAAAAAAAAACCCAAAACAAAAAAAAAAAAAAAAAAAAAAAAAAAAAAAAAAAACTACCCCTTTTTCTTCCTCTTTCCCCCCCCCCCCGCCCCCCCCCCCCCCCCCCTTTTTCCCCCCCCTTTTTCTTTTATTTTCCCCCCCCCCCCCCCCCCCCCCCCCCCCCCCCCGGCGGCCCCCCCCCCCCCCCCCCCCCCCCACAACCCCCCCCCCCCCCCCCCCCCCCCGGCCCCCCCCCCCGGGGGCCCCCTGCCCCCCGGCGCGCCCGCCAAGCCCCCCGTCGGGGAGGGCACCAAGGCCGTCACCAAGTACACCAGCTCCAAGTGAGCGTCGCGGCGGCGGGGTGGGACAACGGCGGCTGCTGATTGACAATCATCATCATCAATATACACCGAGTACCGCCGACCAACCAAACGGCCCTTTTCAGGGCCACAATATCTTTCCGAACAGTATGGTGTGTACGCACCATATAGTTTCAACGACAAGCGTCAAATTATAAATAAATCATAATCTCTAATATTATCTAGTATATTCAGTATAATAAAAACTATCATGAAAATGAAATATTAAATATTGGTTAGCCTTAGTAGAACTAAAGGTAATAAAAATAAAAATAAAAAGCAAGCAAACAAACAAACACTTACATACTTATGTAAATATACATACATAACAATATTATATATAAATGTTATCCACTGACCAGTGATAGGTAGTGTAACGTGTATAACTAACTGTAAATTAACAACAAATCAATATTAGACAACAACCGACGAATAATGTCAGTTAGTTATTTTTATAGATTTTGAACGGTACATGTATACCAAAGCTTATTATTTATATTAAGCAACCTCTTGTAAGTCTGTGAGGTAGGAGCAAATGACTCTCAATTTGGGGCATATAATGGGCAAGCCCGTCTTTCTTAAATGTCACTTATGGAATTCAATCACTCCGCGCAGGCTTTAGTTAATTATGCAAGGGCAGGGTTGTCTAAGCTTTAATTGAGAAAAGTTGTAAGTGAAATCAATCGATAAATATCTCAAAATTTTTAAGATATCGAAGTTAAGGGAAGATTTGATAAAGGCCAAAACTGCAGCAGAAGAAGAAAGATTTCAAAGAGAGAAGTACGAAGGAAAGTTGAAGGATTTGGAAATAAAACTTAACGGGTTATGTAGTAATACATTAATCGAGGTGAGATATACCTAAAGAATAATATTTCATAGATTTTGGATCAAAGTCGCGATATAGGTTATAAAATATAATAAATAGTAATGAACCTTTTTGATTCCCTTCTTTTTAATTGTCTATGGTAAAGGACAATATTATACTGTGGAAGAAGCTGTTTGGTGATTTACAATAATGATTGATAAATATAGCTCAAACTTTTCCATACAACTTGTATGGTTTCGATACGAATTCTATTCGCCCGATCGTATTCTTACTTTCGTTGTATGCCCACACATATTTTCTATATAAATTTATTAATACTTTTCTACGACGGGATCATTTTCAGTTAAAGAAAGTAATTTATTGCACCCGTTATGCACACAAATTATTAAAAGCGATACATATTTAAATTTATAAACGAAAATAGTTATAAAAATATCAAGATAGTCGCACAAGTTATGTTAAAACAATTATAAAACTCGGTGTACTGGTTTTATAAATTGTGTTTTTCTTACTAACATCAGCTCCTCTTTTTCTGGTTCTTAAGGGTATTAAGAATAATCAATATGGATTTAATATCACACACATAGGTCTTAAATCTTGGGGAAAATGTTGGTTATGGTAAAATTAAACGGAGCTATCACGGAGTTTTCAAATAATTGACATGTATTTAAATGTAATACCAATATGAGTATATTTCACTTTTCATTCATATTATAGAAAATAATTGGAATTTAAGAAGGTTATTTATTGATGAGCAGTGTTGGCCTAGTGGCTTCAGCGTGCGACTATCATCCCTGAAATCATGGATTTGAGTCCTGGCTGTGCACCATTGGACATGCTTTCTACGTGCGCATTTATCATTCGCTCGATCGATGAAGGAAAACATCGTGATGAAACCGGCTTGCCTTAGACCCAAAAGGCGTGTGTCAGGCACAGGATCACTTGCGTATTAGATTGACACATGATCATGATACAGATACATAAATCTGAGGCCAAGACCTAAAAAGGTGATAGCGCCACTGAATTATTGTATTTTATTTATTGGTAAATTTTTTATCTAACAGGATACTAGGAAGAAATCAAACGAAGAACTTACCTCTCTGAAAAAACAATTAAGGGGTATGGCAGAAGAGGCGGAAGAGATGAAGATTACGATTGCGGAGAAAGACGAGCAACTTCAAGAGTACAGATTGAAGGTAAACCCTTCACTCCTCTAACATTTTCTATAAAAGAAAAAATATCGTAACAAAAGTAGTACTTATTCGATACTTCGAAGCACCCAGTCACAGTACTTGGTAACGTACCATGTAGTGGTATACGGTAATATATTATAATAATTATAACAATAATATTATAAGCCCGAAATTGCTGTGGCGCCTTTTCTTCTACAAGAGCCAGTGAAATAAAATTCACAGATTGACTATCACCGGATTTTTTGTGTAGGTAATGCTGATACAAGTTTATTTTGGGTTATAGAACATATTTTCTAAAGCAATTTAAGATTTTTATATGATTGGACATTTTACAGAAAAGTGAAAGAACGTGATGATGTTATAAGAATAAAGAAAATTGCGAGTTGGGTCGCTTGTATTGCGTTACCATTAGGTTGTGAATACCGATAGAGACTTAGGGTCTGTTTCTCAATGTATGGATAAAGTACCAAATAGCTATGCAACACATAAATTATTTGGAAGATAAATTGTGCTATTTGACACTTCATCGGACTCATAACTTATGATGGACTTCATGTGACGATTAGCGCTATCTGACAGTCGTGAAACACAACAATAGTGTTTATCCCACCAATAAGTAATAAATAGCTAATTTGGAACTTATGTAGAACTTATCCGTACATTGTGAAACAGACCTTTAGTATCGGATCATACCGCGTATAAAAGTATCGATACCACAGTCGCGGATTGAGCCGCGTATTTTTTGCTCTTTTTTAAAATATCTGGCCGCATTATTAAGTGTTTTATTCTGAAATCATCACACGACATTTTTCAACTATGACATTAATACATATTTAATATTAATAAATTATCCTTTTTACTACAGTATCTTCAAGCTCAACAGCAAGTTGAGGAATACAAAAGACAATTCGACTTAATTGAGTATGATAACAAACAAGTTTCTGACCAGATACAAGTAGAAATACAGAAAATGAAGGTAATTTATTTCTGGAAACGGTAAAACACTAACTTATAATGATAAAATTATAATTATTTCAACAGATAAAACGGTTTAAATAGACTAATAATTTTATTGATTACAAGCTTGTATCGCGGCTTCGCTGGAGATTTGGAAATAAACAAATAGCATAGCATTTGTTAGCTAGGGAAGGTAGGATTCTAATGGTGAAAGGATTTTTGAAATCGGAGCAGCAATTAAATAATAAAATATTTCCAAATTATTCGCCAAAAATTAATTTTATATTTAAAATTAATTTATTTGTCTTTGCGTTTACTCAGTACATTTGTGTTTTAATGTTTTAATACTTTACGCATGTCCTTCCTTTGTACCTTCTAAATCTTTGGCTCGATTTGGGTGATTATACTCGAAACTAATAATATATACACAATCGGAACTTCTGCGAACTCTAGGGATAACTCTAGCTCACTCTACCTCTTCTCATCCTGTCTCTTCTGGCTCTGACAGTCTTCTTTGACCTACCAGTATCAATTCTACGGCAATTGCAATTTGCCGTACCACGCATCGAAACTAAGTCATCACGGTAGATTTACGAAACCGCCTAGATATTCATTTGTCTTTAAAAATGTCATAACTTTAGATGCAATTTCAAGAGAAATTACAAGAACTTGCTCCACTACCGGACCTATTGAAAGGTGCCCAAATACAATTGCAAGAAGCGAAACAGTTGCAAAAGTTAGCCGAAGAAAATTCACAAGAACTATCGAATGAGTTACACAGGGTAAAAGAAAAGGTATTTGCGGTGTAACGGCAGCTGTGTAGATAAATAGTATAATAGACGGCAGAAATATATTTGAAGAAGAGTCTCATTTCCGCCTGGTACCGGTACCGGTGACCTCAGAGCTGGTGATATACAGCGTGAAATTTAATGTATTAAAGGCACACTGCCACAGCTACTGCTAATTTATTTTAGTTTTCTGTTTATTTAATGTATAAGTAATGTTATAAATAATGCGGTTGATGTTTTGTAATAATAATTATCTATCTCTATCTCTTTTTGGCTTGTCACGTGTCGTTTAATTAAGAGATAAAATTACAATTACAATACGTATGAATCGTGTGGTATACAAACCAATATATTCGTTAATAAATCTATCCCATCGAAAATTAATTTCGAGCGCTTTCAAAAAATCTGAGGAAAGCTCTCAAAATGATTTTCTCTGCGCCTATTAATCATAGCATAGTAGTCGGCTCTATATATTATGCAATACAAAGATCAGTCTTTCCCCTTTAATTATTAGTCTTGATTTTTCTTTTAGCTCGTTTTAGCAGTAAATAATTTAAATCAAGAAAAAGCAGATAAAATCAAATTGTTTGAAGAAAATAAAGAAATCAAAATTGAATTGGATGATAAGCGATTAGAAATTGATGACATAAATAGGGTTCTTGATGATTATAAGTAAGTGTTTTTAATGTTTATTAAATACTTATGTATTAAAAAATAATAATGTTTATTATAAATACAAAGGTAAATTAGATAATCTTGATATCAACCCGGCTGTGCACTAATGGATCTAACGTGTACATTTTGTACTTGTTCATACTTGATAACCATTTTTTAAAACCACCACAATTTTGAGCCTGTAAAACCACGTAAGATTTCGATTCTAGATGAACTATAAAATTATATTGGAGTTTAAATATGGCAGTCATACTTTGCGCTAAGTCATCATCATCACCACCATCATTATTAATGGCTGTTATGCCCCTAAGGCCTGGCCTATATGGGCCTTATCCTCCAAAAGTATGTTGCGCTATCGCAATCTATCTCGGGCATGTTGCGTGCAACTTCGACTTCCTATTGTTTCGAGGTCCATGAGAACTCCATACAACCAAAGCAGCCTCGGTTTACCGTGTTATGCTTTTCCAACGAAGTCGAGAGTTCAGTAAGTACCTTGGAGCTCTGTCGTCCGCCATTCGGTGCTCATGTCCCACTGGAGACTGCATTTTGGGAATTGGACGTTGGTGTTGTCCAGGATGATAAATACTTCGCACTAAATTGTTTTCAGATGTAACATGTTAAGGCTAGAAGAGAAGTTGTCACAACTAGAGGCTAGATATAAAGAAAAGGCAAGTGAGTGCATTCAATTGGTAAAGGATCTGGAAGAAATCAGGTCTGAAAGTGCGAGGTCATTAACGAGGAATAAGGAGAGATCGGATTCTTTGCGAAGGTATTTTACTACTTTTCTAATGGAAAATTCTATATTTTTAACCAAATTTCCATGGTTATGTCAAGTGGAAAACTTGTTCTTTTTTTATGTTACATTAGTTTTTTATTTACCACCATCACTGTGTAAGAAGCTACCCTCTAAAGTATTTCTAAACCAATTCGACTTACTTCATGAAAAGAACCAGCTCTCTGGCTTTAAGAGTGTACATGGGCGGTATCACTCAATATCAGATGTGTCCTGCCCAATTGCCCCCTGTTCTATAAAAATAATTAGTCACCATAAGGATGCTGTTCTCGCATTCTTGTTCTACACCTGGTGTGGAATGAAAGCCCATATTTTTTATAGGAATAGAAGGTATAGAGTCGGCTTGGTGAAATTTTTTATCCATAGTCGGCCAAACCCGTCACCAAGAGTAGACGATATTCTTTATTTAAGACCAGTGTACAGGTCGGTACGGGTCTGCTAGTAAACTTCATAATGAGGCATCAGGTCTTGTGTGGGGTCCACATTAGTTCTGAACTTTTCTAAATGCTTTATCGTATTTTAGAGAAATATTGTGAGGGAACCGACCTTCATTACCTGAGTTTATAAAAGTAAGGCTTTTTGGAAGGCAATCATACAAATTGGCATACGGGTGGAGTTATGCTTGAACATATAAAATTACACGTTGCATTCATAATTATAAGGAGGAGAGACCATTAGGTTTTTGAAATCGGTTAAAAACAATCATAGGCTTAATACTCCTTAAGAGTTGTCCTTGTCATTGTTATATGTTGAGAGACCTGATAACTAAGAGGAATCTGGTGACGTTTTGGTGACAACATCCTCTTTTTATTTAGGTATATGCAAACTCAAATATCGGAGTTGGAGAGACAGCTGATACAAAGCCGAGCGCAGTGTCGGTCCTGTCTCAAGGAGAGAGATGACGTAAGTACATACAGCAGCATCGGTACTCTGTAACTTCAATGATTGCGATCCAATTTTGAATTTTTATGATCACAATGGCTATGCTATTGAGAGTGATTTATATCGCTATTGATAGTTACATGGTACCGGCACTGGTTTCGAAAATCTTATTAATCAATAGTTATAACAAACAGTAGTAGTACAAAAAATTCCAGTGTTTTAAAACCGAAGACTAGGTCCTTTTTAGCTCCAAGGATATAAATTTAATAGAAACTACAGTTCCTGTGTTAATACTCCTCAACTCAAACACTACACACACTCGTTTCTTCCACTGGTTGCCCATGGTAGACCAACAAGGACTCTGACTGGTGCTTTGATCTAAAAGCAAACGGAGCCATTATGTATCTTGTAAAAAATTTATCAGGAATTAAACCCAGGGTCTCCGCACCTTACCATTGAGGTGTTAATGAAGAATATATTACCTATTAAACATACATAATAATATAGTATGCAGCTGTTTTACATTTAAAACTGTAAATCTTATCAAGTAAGACCTCGCTTAAATAACAATGTGTCTTGCAAACCGGTCAATGCTATTACACCATTTATTGACGTTAAAAAACGGAGTACATTTTAACAGATAATTTTGCAATTTGTGGTTTAGAAATTTCAAATTTAGAACATCTTAACAGGTAGGCTTAATCATAATATTACTACACAAAAAGGTGACAAAGGAGATATAGCAAATTACAGGCCCATAAGCTTAATGTCTAATATTTATAAGGTATTTTCTAAAATTATACTATTGAGGATTACAAATATTCTTGAAGAGAATCAGCCCAAAGGACAAGCTGGATTCCGTCGAAATTTTTCAACCATAGATCATATACACACCCTTAGACAAATATTACAAAAATATAAAGAATACAACAAAAGCTAGGGTTTATCGATTTCAATAAAGCATTCGACACACTAGAACACGGATATATCTGGGATGCACTTAAAATTCAGGGTGTACAAACAAAATACATACGATTACTTCGTAATGTATACACCAAGAGTACTGCGCAGGTCAAGTTAGAAGATATAGGCGAAGAATTCCCAATCATGAGAGGTGTACGCCAAGAAGACCCTATCTCACCCAAATTATTTTCTGCCGTTTTGGAAATAATATTTAGGAACCTGGACTGGACAAATGAGGGACTAAACATAAACGGTGAAAACTTGAGTCACCTACGCTTTGCAGACGACTTAATAATATTCTCGGAAAACTCAAGATCACTAGAAATGATGCTGCAACAACTAGCAGATGTAAGTGACAAAGCTGGACTATCGATGAATTTAAATAAAACAAAAGTCATGACAAACTCATCACAAACAGACACGATACAAGTAAATAATGAGCAAATAGAGTACGTACAGGAATATGTATACTTAGGACAGCTAATATCTACTGAAGGCTGCATGGAAAAAGAGATTGAAAGAAGAGTTACCAATACTTGGAAAAGATATTGGTCACTCAGTGAAGTGATGAAGAACAAAGATATGCCTATGAAAGAAAAGAGGAAGGTATATAATATGTGCATTCTATTCATGAGAGAAAAGCAAGAAAAGTGGACAAAACTTATCACAGAATGGTACCCTTTGGACGGAAAGAGACATAGAGGAAGACAGGCTAAGAGATGGGAGGATGACATTAAGAAAATAGCGGGTTCAACATGGACTCGCACTGCAAAAATGAGAAAAGACTGGAGAGCCTTAGAGGAGGCCTTTGTCGGAAGACAAGTTGTAACCGAACTACCGTTTGCCGATAATTGATAGATAGTAAAATTAGTATATTAGTTAAACTCTAGTTAATAATCAAAATGTGTTTTTTAGTCATAAGTAAATTAATTTTAGGCACAAGAAACTACTCTGTGTAAAACTTGTTAACAACAATAAAGGCTTTTTATTTTTATTTATTTTATAACAGGTAGGCTTGGGCGTATATTTTTGTATTAAATAATAAATTTGTGATTCTGGATATTTTCGGTTTGTTTGCAATATACTTTTCAAATATATAAACATGTTTATAAATGTATTTCAGTTTATATACGATTATGTTTTAACGTAATTTTTAATTGATATTTGCAAAGATTTAAGACATTTAATTTAATAAGGACATAAAATTACACTGTGTGACTGTTACAAAGTCATGTAGACCCAAATATATTATTTATTAATAAAGGTATTAAGTAAGTTGTATATTAAAATGTAAGTTGAATATATTACAGTCGTGGGAAAACGCAATTAGAGCGATTTAAACGTCAATAACTCGATTTTAGTGACAATAAGTTCGCATCAATTATACCAAGTTAAATGTCAGGACGCAGATAAAATCTAATCTATTTGAGCATTTGTAAGTTTAACTACCACAAAGGTGGTCAAAATGTAAGTGTATGTAAGATCTAAATTTTAAAGGATATTCGAGCACCCAACAACTTTTGGCCGAATATGTTTCGTGCTAGTCGCTCCGGTAAAGGGAATTCGATACTAGAGAATGTTTTTATTTTCCAGGCTAGAACTATCTTTTAGAACTGGAACTGCGTTTTAGTCTTTGTATTTTATCTTATTTATTTATTAGCAATCTCCAGGTTATTGGAAGACCTCTTACACCTTCCCACAATTGTCCACTTGCCATACCATCTACAGCCGAAACAAATTAATTCTGTATTAGGCAAGAAATATTTAAAAATACGAATTAAATAATTTTTTAAATGAGTAGTATTGTGTGTATAGCATTCCTCGATGGATAAGAATAAAAAGCCTGAGACACTAGTGGTATGAAATATACGTAAACTATTCTCAATCCAAACAATACGCAACAGTTTTGTAAAAATATACCGTGACACGAAGTCGATAGATCTGAGTATTCGTATATTTTGAAAACAGATAATGCCTATGTTACTAAGGGATCATTCATCCTAAGGATGAAAAGTTTTGGAAATCGGTTGAGTTGTTTATTTATTATAAATATTTACTCAATTATTTATATTTGTATACCCGAATGATCACGGCGAATATTCCGATTCAAGTAGGCTTCAACAAATATTTTGGCGTCAGTGTTAATGTATTTACGGAACAGAGTGCATGGAAATCTACTGCAATTCATTTTGGTCCTTTAATATATTTATTACTGCTATACTTACTATCATTATAGAAAAAACCAGTGGCGCTACAGCCTTTTGGGGTCTGGGCCTCAGATTTCTGTATCTGTTTTGTGATCATTTGTTTATTTTCTAATAGGCAATAGTATGAGCGACTGAAGTTTATTGGGGCACAGCTAGGGATCGAACCTACGACCTCACGGATGAGAGTCGCACGATAAAGCCACTAGGCCAACACGGCTCATAACAGAAACGTTACATTAATAGAATTAAAGATAAAACTAATTTAAATGTTATTTGATGGTTTGTTATTTGTTTGTAACAAATCTTTAATTTCTGTCATTGTTAAAAGTATTCCTTGTGTGTGAATTCAGTCTCGTAATTACGCGCTAACGTATGTTTTGTGTGTGATCTCTCTCAGACTTCCCTAAAAGTATATAAGTATACTATAAAAAGTGCAAGTGCAATATAAAAATTACAAAATATGTATATGCTATATGTATAATAGCCGTCTATGTATCTGGGACAATAATTAAATTCTTTATAAAGAGTAAAGTTTGTAACGAATAAACACAGAAACAGCTTGATCTATTACAAAAAAAAAATGTGTGCGTGTACTAGGTGTACACACGTAAGAAGTGACACTTCTTTATGACCATATTAGAAACTATTTCTTTAAACACAGTAAATTTTGATACACTGCCTAGCATACAATTTACAAATTAATTGCTGCAAATTGCGATTAGCAAATTTCAAGTCGAAAATGTAATCCGTTGTCAAACTTCAAAGTCAAAAACATACTATATGTCATATTTTAACGCCGATAAAGAAGTTTGACTTCAAAAAGCAACATGGCGCGTAACGGAAAAATGTGACGCGTAACGCAAAAATGTTACACTAAATTTTTTTCCAACCCCGATAAAGAAGTTTCACTTCAAAAATTATTAGATTATTAGAATGCTACACTATTGTTGAGTATATACTCGTATTTCCCTAATATTAAAAAAATATCTAGATATTACGTACGAAGCTTGTGGTCCAAGGATTTTATATAATGATTTTTCAGATACGTCAACGCATGCAAATCCAAATAAGCAACCTTCAAGAGAACTTCGATATGGTAGAAATTCGATTGCGGACTTTGCAAAATCAAATCACGTCTCTGAAGAACAGCTACGCGGTGATACTTGCTGATGAAGATGACACAGATATCAACAAGATTGTTACAACTACCTGTGATTAAATTTTGAACGTCGAATTGTTTTTTGTAACGAGAATATCAAAACAGAATGTTTTTTTTAAATCAATAGTTATCTAATGTATTCATTTTTAAAATGATAGCTAAGATACGTTGTAAAAGACGAAATTTTCTTTAGATGACTTGAAATACTTATTACGTGGCATGTGTCCCGAATTTACTTTAATTATTTGAATTTCGAATCATGTACTGTCAAAACCTTTTAAAGGGTAAATATCGATATGTTGAAAAATGTTTTTTATTTGTATCGTTGATGGCTGTATCGTGTACTTTTTAATATATATTCGCACTTGTATGTTATTTTAATAAATTATTGTTTAGATTGCAATGGCAGAGTTTTTAATTCTTATATAGTACATTTATTTGTGAAATTATGTAGGCTCCCAACTTCTTTACAAGTAGGTATCCTCTTGCAACTAGTTATATACCATGATGCGAATTTAGGACTTATTCTTTTTTTAGGAAATGAAACAACGTCTAGCCGAAATAGAAAAACAAAAAAATAAAAATAGCAACATCTCATAAAGGAAGCTGTGAACTAAGATTATTTTAAAAATTCATTCAAGTCTAATCTCACTTATTTGTCTCTTTTCGTCACAGCGTTAACACAATTTAACAGAAAGAGACGAAAGCAATTGGTTGAGAATGTATTTAGACTCATTAAATATCTATACATAGGAAGAGACGCAACAATTTTAGAAGACTGTTTCAAAATTGGATTATCCATAACAAGGCTATATCTACGTACAAGCGAATTGACGCGGTCGCTATCGCCACGCACCAATTTTCATCCTATTAAATCCACGATATGAAGTTATTAGATATATTAGTTAGAGCATAAATCAATTATACTAGTTTGAAGTAACTTGGAGTAGAGGAAATTGGTATTTGCCTTCAGCAACCTTGCCTTTGCTGGACTTGAAGTTAAATATATTACATCATGGCAGGATGTACCCTCTTTATTAAACTAGCGACCCGTCCGTACAAGTTTAAATATGGTTTTAAATTGTATTAGGGATATTCATTTATGTCATTTTATTGGAAGACAGGACTATATGTGTGTGTGACAAGTCAGCAAGTGTGTGTGATGTAATGTCGTGTTTAGTAAAATTATGATCTACGGAGTGATTTATTGAAATTACAGAATACAAATAAAATACACTCGTAATGTAAGCTTCAGAGTCGAGACTTAAAATTATACTCTAAATTAGCTCTTAAAACAGGGTGAGTAATTAACACAGTTGAGCAGCGTTGTCCTAGTGGCGTCAGCGTGCGACTCTTATACCTGAGGTCGTAGGTTCGATCCCCGGCTGTGCACCAATGGACTTTCTGTCTGTGTGCGCATTTAACATTTGCTCGAATGGTGAAGGAAAACATCGTGAGGAAACCGACATATCTTAGACCCAAAAAGTCGACGGCGTGTGCCAGGTACTGGTTGATCACCTTATTGCCTATTAGATTTAAAAATGATCAAGAAACAGATTCAAAAACCTGAGGCCAAGACCTAAAGAGGTTGTAGCGCCACTGATTTATTTTTTATCCCTAGTTACGAGCACATTACACACACAAAACAAATATACAGCAAGGAGTGGTTGCCGTTTGACAAAATATGTTACAGTAAGTTAGAACCTTGTCAAACGCATAATATACTTTTTTACGACGTTGTGGGCATCTCGATAATATCAGTATAATAAAATAAATTGTACGAAAAACAAATTTTCCGGTTCGCATCTGACCTCCAGTTAACGCACAAGGCGTCAAAATCCTTCAATGTTAAACTAAAAACTAAATTAAGGTAAATCAAGTAGCAGATGGTGGCATTTATTTTTATATCACGTAAAAAGCAAGACTAACCTTGACCGAGATTTTTTAAGTTTTCGACTTTATTATATTTTAATTTATTGTTGGTTAGCTCATTAAATCGTTTAATTAGATTCGTGGCGGTGAGCGTTTCTGGTATATATTTTTTTGAAGACGGAAACAATATTGGATTGATGAAAATTATTTAATCAAACAAAGGTTATATTTAGCCTGATTTTTGTATTATTTTGGACAATATAACAATAGAAATCGTATTTGTATGCGATTCGTAACGTAAAAATAATTTTCGTGTTCTACGGTACAAAAAAGTTAGTAATTTTCAAGGTTTTATGACTGACAGTTTCATATCAACTTGCGTTTCCTCGTTCTGGTTACAAGTTTAATAAACTGCAAAGTTAATACGTTAAAATAATGTTGTACAGGAACTAATCGAGAAGGTTCAAAGTCATTGATTTATGCGGAATTAAGAGGTTGGAACTGCAATTAATTATATATAGAAAACAAGCAACGACTATATGACACAAACACTTTTGTGTCTGATAGATTCATAAATTCATACATAATTTATCGACTATTCCACATGTTGACACAAGGCGTGCTTTCTGGGTAAAATAAAATCGCCTAGACTTCGCCCACTTACGGCCTTGTCCATTTTGAGGCCATACCTCTCATTCTCTTTTTAATGTCAACTTAATTTTTTTGCAAATTTTTCAGCGACGCATTAATAATAATAATAATAATCTTTATTGACATATTTGTAATTACAGAAATCCTATGAAGACTCTGACACCTAAACTAGGCTTTAGTGCCTGTATCTCAGGAGTCAGTGGCTTCTCCCAATATAATTCGTAACAAGTGTCAAGAGAGCTTATTCAAAATTTTACAAGACAATACTTTTTTATAGACATTTGTAAATTCCAGATATTACATCTAATTATCCTGTTACACATAATATACTTAAACAAAAATAACATATATTGAAAAAAAATGTTTCAGTATAAATTACAATGAATATAATAGGTAATAAAATAGGTACATACACATAAAATACTAAAATACATAAATATACATAATACATAAATATACATAATTATACATTTTACATATGGGTATATGTAACACTAGTATAAATATATAAATTATACACATAATTAATGAATCAAAATAACTAAAACATTATTGTAGCATGTTAGTTAAATAGATCTTCTGTTTCCTCATAATTTAAGGACAAAAGCCAAGTCTTAACAATTGATTTGCAGTCATGTAGTGAAAGAGGGTAGAAATTTAATTTTTTGTTTATTTTATTATATAGAAAGACTGAGAGATATGCTCGTTGTCGCCTTGCGAAGGTAGTACGGAATTTTGCTGTGGGGAGTACATTTGGTATACAGCGTTTGTTACTGCAAACCTCTGGGTTATAAGGGGTATGGACATGTTGTTTGGCTATTATATTAAAGACGAATAACTGTCTAACACTGAGGAGCTCACACTGTTTATATAAAAGTGTGGTTGAAAATCTGAAGGGTTTGAAAGTCATTACTTTTAGTAAAGATCTGTGGGCTCTTTCAAGCTGAATTAGATGTGACTTGCACGCTCCACCCCACACGCTCACGCAGTATCCAATAACCGATTTTACTAAGGCAAAGTAAACAGTGCGGAGTAGTTCAAATTCCGCGGCATACCGTAATTTTTTGAATGTCCAGATTAGTTTTCGCGTGCGTGCCGTTATAATCTCAATGTGAGGTAGCCAACTCAATTTATTATCTAATTCGATACCGAGGTATTTAATGGTATTGGATTTTGTTATATTAATGCAAGTACAATTTCGCTCAGAGACACATATGTGTATTTTAAGATTAATATCAGTCATATGGGAATTAATAGTTTGGAACTGAATATACGAAGTTTTAGAAATATTTAAAGTAAGTAAATTTTCCCTGAGCCATCTAGCCACCTTCTGCAGTCCGCTTTCGGCAATATTTTGTATCTCGGTCCAGGTGTCCCCATAAAAAACTATAGCCGTATCATCGGCATAGGTAAACAACCTGCAACTAGTTAGGGACAAATTACATAGGTCGTTTATGTAAATAAGAAAAAGACTTGGACCAAGAATACTGCCCTGCGGAACTCCAAAAGTTACATTTGCGTCGGAACTAATATAATTATTAATCTTAACCCTTTGCACCCGACCACTAAGGAAATCTTTAAAAATAAGCAGGGCTGAGTCTCTTATTCCAATTCGCTCCAATTTGTTCACAAGTATAGGAATTGAGACGGTATCAAATGCCTTGGCAAGATCGAGGAAGACACCAAGGCAATTTTTTTTCCTGTCAAGTTTTTCTGTGACAAACTCAACCAAGCTACCCACAGCGTCTTCTGTTGACATACCCATTCTGAAACCAAATTGTGAGCTGGACAGAATATTGTACCGATTTAAAAACTGTATTAACCTCACGTTAAGCATCTTTTCTAGGATTTTTGATAGTGCTGTAAGCACAGAAATCGGTCTGTAGTTTGCAACACAATCCCGTGCCCCACCCTTGTGAACAGGAGTAATGAGAGACCTTTTAAAGACTTTTGGAAAGCAGCCTTCCCTCACACATGTTTGAAACAAGATAGTAAGCGGCGATACAATGACATGTCTTACCATTTTTAGAAATCGAGCTGGTATAGAGTCCCAACCAGTGGCACAATCATTTTTTTGAGCTTAAGATGAGAGATTCCACCTCAGCCTCATCTGGTGGCATTAGTACGAAGGAGTTAGTCAAGCAATTAGATCTTGTACATTTGTAGTTATACTTACACCCTGTAAGTTTTTCAGCTAGCTCTCTACCAACATTAGAAAAATAACTATTTATGTCCTCAACCGCATCCAATGCGTTACAATTCCTAATTAACTCATCGGCAGAAGATTTTTTACTTGAACTATCGGTGACATATTTTATTGCAGCCCAGGTTTCTTTATTTGATTTTGCACTTTTTAATAAGAATTTATCGTGTTCGCGCTTCAATTTTCTAAGTAATGAGCAACAAAAATTCCTGTACCTTTTATAGGTTATTTTAAGAATTTCATTTTGGGGGTCCCTTTTTAAATTAAGATGCAGTTTATCCCGGTGACGGATACAGCGAAGTAGGCCCGGAGTCATCCAGGGCTTAAGAGATTTTTTTGCGCCTGGGTACACGGACTTTTTCAGTGTTAGCTTTAATAGCAGATGACAGAATTTCAACAAATCGAGTCGCAGCAGACTCGGCGTCTTGCTTGTTAGTCATAAAAGTAAAATCAGCCAATTCAACATATTTTATAGCTTCACTAAAATTTACTCTTTCAACAATAGAAGGGCACTGAGTATTAGTCCGTTTACTGTTAAGGGATAGATTTATTAGAATAGAGTCGTGATCAGTTACGGTGGAATTTATCACTATAACACTAGTTTGTAAAACAGTTTTAACCATTACATGATCGAGACAATTGCTTAATCGTGTTGGATATGTGTGGCCTGGCAGAAAACCCAATTCGCTGGTTAAATTTAAGTAAGAGTTACTGTTTCTGTCACCGTTTCCAGGTTTTATATCGATATTTATATCACCTATTAAAAATATATTCTTAGATGATATAGATTTAACAATATCATTCAAAGCATTCAAAAAGCGCTCAGTGTAGTAAAAGGATGGTGATCTATAAATAGCTAAAAGTACAATATCTGGTACTATTTTAGCTAGCAGAAAGTTAGCATCTTTAGGATTAGGTTCTTCAATTTCGCAATTTATATTTTGTTTAGCATAAATTATAATACCGTCATTTTGATTTAAGCATTTTTTTTGTGAAATAAGAATTATAATCCTTGAGACTGGGTATGGGTTTATTGTCGTTTAACCAGCATTCAGTTAAAATTATTATATCTGGATCAAAGTACAGACGAGCTATATGGGCCAAGAATGCATCAATATTTTTGTAAACGCTACGGATATTTTGTGTTATAATTTTTAGGGAGTTTCCTGATTTTTTTTACTAAATCATTACAATTTTTTATATCACAACTGTAGGCAGTTGCCACTGTTATATTATCAATATCATTATTTATATTATCAATAAATCTAGCCATTTGTAAAATATTAAGCTTTTTGTCGCAGCTACTCGTGTCTGAGAAATGCTAACATTTTTACAAAGATAAGATCTCGATTTCAACATGATCACTAGACTAAGAATGTATAATTTTTTAGTTATGTAAAATACAATACAATGAACAGAGTATAAGTATGTATATAAAGAAGAACAATAATATAATATATAAAAAAATAAAATAATATCTATAAAAACAATAATTAAGTGCCGGATTTTCACAAACAGGAAAGTTATCGTAGGCCGGCGGAGTTTCCTGGGGGCCTCAAAAAATCATTGTTTTAGACGAAGTTTATTTAAATCACCCTCACTATCAATTCTAATATGCCGTTTACCTTCATCTTGTCTCAGGTAGGTTCTTCCAAATGAGGTCCAGCAGAATTTATATCCATTTTCCTGAGCAAATGCACGAGCCAGATAATTTAATCGTTTTCCGCAGGGTGATAGACATTCTGAAATAAAAAATGGCTTTGCTGGTCCTTCCAAACTTAAGTGTGCCGTGTTCAATCTGTTAGCAGAATTCATTTTGTTAAATTTGCGTGCCTTTTCAATAATACCATCTTTCAATATAACGCTGCCCAATTCCACAATAATTGCTCCATGTCCAGTTTTACTTTTTGTACGATAAATATCCTTAATATCCTGTTTCTGTATGGGAAAATCAATAACATCTGCAGCTTTTGAAGCAATGTTACATAAACTATCCTTATTTTCACCGGTAATCTTAGGAATATTTCTTAGTTCAAGTTTAGTTGAGGCAGACGTTCGTTCCAGCGACTCGATTTTCTTTTCAAGCTGATCAATATACAGACGATCTTCATTCCTCTGTTTTTCCAATTTCTCGTATTTAGCTTTCATATCTTCGTACTGCTTAGAGACAAAAGCAATGGAGTCTTTTATTTCTGTATTTTGTGTCAAGATTTCTCTCATGGAGGATTGCAAGGAGGTGAATTTACTTTCATTTTGAGAGTTTGCTTTAGCAAGCATATCCTTAATTTCGGTTATGATTTTTTTAATATAGGACTCATCCTGCTTGCGCCTCATAGTTACATTGCTTCGCTCCTCATTAGATAAATCTGGCGCGGAGCCCGAAAAAGAAGCTTTCGGCGCGTTCAACCTAGCTTCCTTTAAGTCTTCGGGAGTGGGGGTGCTGGGAGGTGTGCGCTTAAGAGGCATATTTCTGACAAAAAGATGACACCAGAGTACACGAAAAAATAAACTTGGACCAGCCCCCTATAAATTTCCGCTACCCGCTATCGCTTATGAATTACGGCAACTTACAAAGCTTGCGTATCAATGATGCGCGCAGACGGAGCGTACAACTTAAGCTGTCTCACAAGTGTTGTCCCGTTCGCACAGATGCACTTACTGCACGCAACTCATGCGCTCCTGGTACACACCTTAATTTATTCGCACGGAATTTATTTTTAATTTGATTTTTAAGTTATAAAACAAATAGAATGCACACGTCTAAACGCTTCCGCGGTCCAGGAGGGAGGGGGGACGCATTGGTAACTTGTTTTATTCTTTTTTGTGTAGGTACTGCCTTGAGTAATGCTTTTTGCGTCTAGGTGGTTCTAATTGCTTTAATTACCCGGAAACACCTTGCATTGTCTGTGGGTTGTATTAATTTTACGTATACTAGATAGAGGCAATGATTAATATTCTTTTAAATCCGATTAAAGCTTTCATTCCTAAGGGACAAGGAATCTTATTACAGGTACGCCGGACCCAATACTGGAGCAAGATTGCGCATCAATCGGTACTTTTTCTTTATTTAAAAATTGCTCTTCGACATTGACCTAATCGTTGTAAAGATTTAAGTGCTTTTCTATATTTAATTATTGTCATATACTAATGTTTAATTTCAAATATTTGGTTGATTAGTATTATTTTGTTTTATATGTAAAAAATCTAAACGTTTCAGCCAAAATCCAATATATATATAGATATGAATAAGTTACCCCTACCTTTCATAAAGAATTATTACTTTAGTGATAGTCATTTGTAAATACTGTCAACACATAAGGTAATAATAGTATTATCTATACTTAGAGACATATTTAGCCAATGCCAGTAGCTACAAGTAAAATTGTGCCCTTCTGTATTAATCATCTATTGTAAAATAGAATAGCTATGTAATTAACCTAAAGTCAAAGGACTTGTTTACATCAGGTCAACACAATCATTGTTCGATGTAGAGTTAATAGTTATTACATAATGAAATAAAACGACTCGATTCATTCAAACATATAATATATTTTCTGTTTGATTTTTACACTTTTTTGGTGCTCCATTTTTATTCGTTTGTGTTTTCATTAAGTTAAATTAATACTAAAAAATAGTTAAGGTCTCGCGCAGGCGTCGCGGTCTCCGTAAATGGGCAATCAGGAGGACGGCGGCGTCGTCGAGGCCCGGGCAATGAGCTCGGCATAATAAATAGTAAGGTACAAAAGGAAGTCAACGAAGTACCATCCAATGGTTACCACTCTCGCAGGCATTCTCCACACGTCAACAGTCTTACGTCTACAGTATCACTAGCTATACATCGCGGCGTCGCCACGTTCACTGGTCCGGTCGTTGGTCGCTTTATTCGAAATGCGAGCTTTTGAGCTTCTTGATGGCGTTGGTCAGGTGTAGCATCTCCGTGTTCAATTGCCAGATGAGGGTCTCCAGTTTGTCCACTGAGTCGAGGACCTCGACGCGCTCTGTGTGTGGGTTAAAACGGACCTCGAATGGTCTTGACATGGTTGACACCCAACGTCTATTGGAAGAAAATGTATCGTTATTACGTGCCTATTACATGTATCAAGTTCACAGCTTTGTCTTTAATGAACGAACTGTGAAAGTTCCAAAAATAGGATTAACAACCGTTTAAAAATAAATATGACAATTGCAGACAAAAAGTATTAAGTCCCTATTGTTTAAACTGTGTTTTTTAACTGACCTGAATTTATCTTTGGCATCCTCGAAGCTCTCGGCTACGTAGTAGATTGGTTGATATTCTTGATCTTGGTATGGTTGCATTGATGTGGATGCAGGTTCGAATGCACGTAGCTCTGGCTTATCACTTAAAGCATGCAAAAGTTCGCCGATAGAAGAAAGAAGAGCTGCACCATATGCCTTAAGTTGTTGGTTCTCTTTGCAAAGTCCAAATTCAACCGTGAACCAGTAAACCTAAAATATTATCATTATTAATTTCGTTGCGTTATGTTTTTTTTTAACTTTAAGTCAATTATATGTTCATGAACTTACAGTGGAAAGCTTTTCGATTTCAGAGTCGGAAGCACCGAGAGAGGCAAGTCCTATTTCCTGTGAGAATTGAGCGAAGCTGGGGTCGGCCAAGAGTGGGATGTGTCCAAGAAGTTCATGAATGCAATCGCTGTAGGGATAAATAATATTTTTAAGCTAACAATTCCACATCATTCAGCGATTGGTCAAAGCATAGTAAAGAATGAAATTATAGGGAAAATAATATAAAATTCTAAATGATTTTAGTTTGTTAATATACAATTTAATTAATTAGTTAATTTAATTTTCAAAGTTAGATAAAACAATTAACTATAAAAGAAACGTAGTCTAAAAATGCATATCGCTAAATTTCTACAGCTCCCTTCGGAATGGCATTAAAATTATCAAGCGAGGCGACGCTTTTAATGCTGTTACAATTCCATCTTCCCACTATATTGACTTACAAAGGATCTAACAAGGCTTTTAAAGCTATTTTATTGGAATGGAAAAGGTACACATTACGAAGCGTAACTCAAGGTATTCAAATGTGATAAAAATATTAACGAAATTACTTATAAATGTTACTGTCTTGTTCTACTGCATGTAGACACATTATCTTACTGTTAAGATACTTACGGTTCAGGTGTGTGGAAGGGTGAGTTAGCGTGACGTACATATTGCGTAGATTGGAAGACACGGAAAGCGAGCGAAGCCAAGAAGTCCCTAGCAGTCAGTAAACCAGCGGCAGGACGTAGGGTAAATCCAGTGTGCTTACGAAGGAAGTTACTAACATCCTCTAGTTGAGGAATTCGGTGTGGAACAAAGATATCAGCCTCTTGCAGCTTGTTGAACGCTGCTTTGTATTCCCTGCACGCGTGTTTTGGCATCAGATCCAATACAGTGTTGAAAACTCGCTGCCATGTAGAGTTCTCAGACTCAGTGTAAGAGATCGATGGAATTGGGTCACCGTATTTGTAAGCAAAGGCAATCACGGCGATCTGCTTTCTGCGCTCTCTGTACTGCTTGTCAGCGAAGCCTGGGTGGTTCATGTCGAGTTCTGGCTCGTATTTGGTCATGAGGTGGTTGCAGTTGTCGAGGTCGACGGCGTGGCGAGGGAACCATGGAGTTTTGTTGGTGAGGTTGTTTTCAGATAGAAGGTTAACTCCGGCGAAGGATGTAGACTGGCGGAGAGCCCTTATTAGTTGGAGTAAGTTCGTACGGGACATGCGAACTTTCACGAGAGCGTCAAACTGCATGCCGTCTTCTTGGGAGGGTCGGGTCTCCAAATGTTCAACACAGCCCTTGTAGTTGTCGATGGTTTTTAGGATGCGAGCGAGAGAGCCCATTCCATCTCGCAAGCGGAGTAAAAGAGCAGCTTTTTGTACAGCATGCTCTGCATCAGGACTTTCACTTGCAGCATTTTGGAGGATAACTTCTTCTTCAGTCAGAGTATAATCTATAATATAGGTCTTAAGTTAATATAAAATTACACAATATTAAAAGCAATGACAATTTGTGGTAATTATGTTTTGTTTCGCTTAAATGGCAATGATCGGCATAAAAATTGATATTGTTATTGATTGTAATTTCCTTATAAATTTTGTTTACAAAAACTTTTCAACGATAATAAAATTAAGTGTTTATTATTACGAATTTTTATCACTGACCTTCGTCTTTCTTTCCTCCATCGTCACCGACATCTGCATCTGCTAAAAACCAAAAAGTAAAACAAAATAATAAAAAGAAAATAAATTTAAAAAAAATTAAACAAAACTAAGTAAGAAATTACCAAGTTGGCCGTTCTTGGTTTCGTCCTGATGAGTTCCATCTTCGACGGTTGGTGTTTTGTCACCGTTGCTTAAATGAGCGACGTCTTGGATAAATTCGGATTCCAAGCCAGAGTCTAATAAATTAATAAAAATAAAGTATAACAAAACAAACAAAAAAATAAATAAAAAAAAACGAACGCTTAGTAACTTAACATACCATTAGCGCGGGCGCGTGCCTCTTCCAAAACGCTTTGCTTGGTCTGTTTTACAACAAGTGTTTCGAACCGTGCATCGTCCACAAGCGAGCGACGGCGAGATGGGTAGCCGTTCTGTAACAAAAGAAAGACTTATGAAACCCACGTAATAAAGCTATAAATTACGCAGCACAAAGGCTAAGATCTCTAAATCCTTATAAATATAAAGTGGTCGCATCGTTATATTTCATGTGTGAGTAGGGATTGCTTTTACGAAGTTCCGAAGCTTATTTCCTGAGCGTGGACTTAAAGTGCTGCCATTTCACTCCGGATACAAGTGAAACGTTTCGAGATGGGTCTCACAAAGGAGAATTTTCTGGACCGCTGCACTTGAATGGAACCAATTATAGCTTTGCAGAGTGACTTTTAAGCCTTTGATGCAAATTTGTGTTGAGTAAATTTTATATAAAAGTTTTTATTGTAATAAACTACAATGATTTTATGTACCCTTTTCGTGATCTTTGGATGCTGTATAATGTAATTAATAGGCAGATTTTTATCACCATTGTTATTTAATAAACCAATTATAACTACACTGAGACTCATAATTAATTTATAGGTACGCTAACTTAAATAATGGAAAAATTGTTATTAGACATTTTAGATCAACAGTCATGTTACATTATGAATTAACACGTTCACTGCGTAACAGGCCGATATCGGCCTGCCGCGGTATTTCAGCTGGTGCGGACGAAGAAATCTATGTCCCTCTCGCTGGTGCGTAACGATTATCTCAGGTGTTTGTAAAAATTCGACAGGGACAAATATATATTTCATCTTGCGGTCAAAATTGTAGGTGTTCCCCATCAAAACATAACGGCAGGCTTTTATCGGCCTACCACACACTGACGCTGCTGTGCATCCACTGAGAGTTAATCTATCTTAGTGCTGTTGGGTCTAGAAAGACCTGCCACGCACTGGCGGAAATATCATTGGGGGCGCATTTTGGCCCGCCGCCGCACCTGATGAAGAATTATGATTTTACTTGCCGCAGTGAACGTGTTAAAAAATATCTATGCAATGCGTCCAATATGCAAGAAATATTTAAGCAGCTTAAAAGCTTATGTGTAAACATTCTCTTTATCGTCGTATATCACACATATCATTAGCAAAACATTAACCCCCAAATATATATTTGAAAAACTGAACACATATTTTCACCAATGATTCTGATTTGACCTTGCGAAAATTACTTCCTCGCATATCTACAGTTAGTCTTGCGAACGACGATTTTAGGAAAACAAACTTGATAACCAAATATTTCCTTAAAAAATCTGTGACTCTTGACGTAATTTTGTATCAACCTTGGTCATTTGATTTTAACATTTTCCTTCTGATGCTTGATTAGACACCTCAGTGACATTCTTATGTTTTCCTGTACACGTTGCAATTACCAACATTCCGTAGATATAGTAACATATATGTATTGTATTAGTTTGTAAAATTTGTGGGGAATACATTTCGGCTCAGATACGAGATATTTGGGCGTAATGTCTAAAATATAATATTTCTTATTAATAAATTTTGACAGACAGCAAAATTGCGACCAAACAAAGAGGAATCATTAGCCTTTGTCATTTTGTGTTCGAAATTTAAATATTACGATAAAACTGCAAGTACAACTAAAATGCATACAAAGTGCAGTTAAGGTGTCGGATGACACCGAGCGCGAAAATCTTGGATTTTCCAGTAGAGTGGCCACGCTATGTATGTCAAGGGTTACTAATCACACCGTGTCACCTAGCCCCGGAAACTGTACGAAGGTAATGCCCTACCATATTAACTCACATGAATACGCAGAATAATTTTTATAATATTTATAACCAATGTACAAAGCTAATAATCGAACTCTATCCAATTATATAAATTAACAGTTAGTGGATGTTTTAAAACCAATATGTAAGTGTTCAAATCCTGAATCGAACCCTGAACATCGAGGATTAAATAAACGCTGACTTATGAGCTGATTGTTTTAAAATATGACCGTTATAATTCAAACTAACTGTCTAATATAATAATGACCTTACAACAACTATTACAAAATCTAGGTTACATTGTCATTAATATTTTTACGATTTGTCTTAGACTAAGTATCCGGGATCACCTTGAGTTGTTCTTTAGTTGATATATTGTTTCAATTCTATGCACGAATTCATCTTGTGTGAACCTGACCTATTAACTCTTAAGTAATAAATACACGACCAGAATTAATACGATGCTTGCGAAACTTTTGCTTCTACAAAAGATCGCAACTAGCAAGTTTTTAAAATAAAAAAAAATAATTAATAGCTGAATCGAACATGACATTTCGGGCAACGGTGATAATTGAATTCTGAATTATTCGCTAAAACCCGTGTGATTGCTATTAAAAATCGTGTACTTAATGTCATTGCGGAAACGACGTATGTCGCACTCAAGTTAAAGGTCCACCTAACTGGAGCGATTTGCTTGAAAATCCGGTTGATATAACCTTGGTACCCGAGTGACCACTTCACCATTCCAATCATACTGTAATTACGCCCGAGTACGGCTCGCCTGCGGCTCTTGCACCCTTCAGGCTAATTCGAACCCGGATTTGTGATTGTGCTAGTCAAATGTACCGAAATTATAGATTTTACGCTTTTGTTAATTACGAAAAACTCGAACAAACGTTTTTGTAGTCTGAGTTATTACCGGTCATTTTCCGATTAGTAACCTCTAACTTTTTATACCATTTGACCGCAATTAACGATGTTTTTTCAAGGTTTGCCCTTGAATTAGTTTTTAAATATTAAAGTTTTGAGAGTTTGTATAAAAATGTTTGCGAATATTAAATATCGTTTAATTATTTTGTATCGCGCGAGTGGATTCAATCTTTATCGTGTATAGAGCTGGTGAGCGTCGTACGATCTTGCATACCGACCTTCAATTATCAAGGAAATACAATCATTCAGTTACCAATTATAAAACCTATGTTAATGATTACACCTTTGTTAGGAACCTGGGTTTCGCACAGCATAAAGGAGAACGTCGCATCGCTGACACAGTTTTAGTTTTAGGCTCGTTCGAAAAAATGAAAACAAAACACTGTGTCGATGAAACACGCCAAAGACACCTAATTACTTCGCATGATACTTCGCATGAGCGTTGGAAGGATTAAGGAGTTGGTAAAGGAAATTATGCAAATTTTATATTCATAATTATTCACGCCGAGATGAGGTAACTAGGTGCAGGTACTGAATGCCTTGAATCTTGACAATAGAAATTATACAATAATGACACTAATTGAACTAAGCGGAATCTTTATAATTTACCTAGACGTAAAGGTGCAATCGTTCGTAGAATTAAATAATATTGATATCTGAATCATTGCATTTGCAACGTGAAAGTTATTTTTCTGTTAATGGATATGACGTTGACAGGTAATTAAGCGCAGTGTAGAGCTAATCTCTTGTTACTTTGTAGACGACAATTGGGCATATAAAATGCTCTAAGCCTTATTTTCACACGCTTTCATGTTATGTCAGAATATTATTTTTACGTAAAAGATGTTTTGATTTTAGTACTTTTAAGCTCCATTGAAAATCGAGCGTTAGTTGTAATTGCAATAAATGTACGATGTGCACGGCTTAGAATAATTTATTCCGATTGTTTGCCGGACATTGCCCTCCTTATCTACCGAATTAAGATCAAAAACTTATTGCGTAATTTTTTATAACTTTTCGGAACCAAACTTGACCTGCATTTTATATTAGTTCCGCACTTGAATGTTGTGACAATGTATAAATAAATATATGTTAAAAGCTTTAAACACTCGATAATGATGCGAATATTTACATAATTTTACATGAGAATTGTGGGAATGAGTATGAGAAAGTTCACATGCACAATTTCATCCTTCGAAGCCGTGCTGAGTCTGAATGAGTCGCAACTTAAACTTCACAAAAACTTTGCGCGGCTCCGAGGGAAGTTCGTTAAGAGTCCTCACCTCAATGCTGTAGGACTTCTTGATTGCGAACATTTCGCGGTTCTTCTGTGCAGCTGCGACGGCCATGGTTCACAACACTAAGGGTAAGGGCCTGAACGAGGGTTCACTGCGCGTTTAGCTAGCGTACGTCTGCGAGATGCTTTTGTCTCGACCACGGGCTGGAGCCTGTCTGTCTACGACTCGAGCTGTCGTATTACAGTAGCTAACTAAACTTTGGTTGCAAACAGGCCAATGCATGATGACCGTTCGCAAGAACAGTTTAAATAGTGTTAGGCGCCTCCCACCCCTCGTTCTTGTCGCGCATGCGTCAGAGACTGCCTCCCTCCGCGCTACTCGCGCCTCCAGGCTCTCCTGATACATTGAGAGGGTCACCCCCGTGTCACATATTGCCAATTAGGACCCTCAATCATTCAAATTTTCAGACATTGACGAATTTTTTCGGATATTTTTAATGTTTTGTTTATATTTAATAAATGTTACTGTAATCATTTTAAGAGTTAAGAATGGAAAAAATTCTAATTTTATGACAAAAATTTATATGTAATTAGGATGATTAATCTTACATTTTAATATTATTTTGAATAACAGGTTTTATAGATGGAATGTAGTAAGTGTATTTTGTTTTCTTATTCGTAATTTTTTACTGTTTGTACTGATATTGATAGAATGGTCAATCTCTAGTAATAGCAGATTTTGATTAAGATTTTGGTGCATTTGTGGCCTTGAAATAGACTTAGCTTAAACTGAAGAGGTTTTTCTTTGGAATAATAACGCAATTGTTGAATAATTAGATATCGATATCATAATCTACCTTTCTCGGGTGGCCTTATGTTTTACAAGGAAGTGAAGAACGGAACAAGGATATATCAATGTTCTCAATGACTAATTTACAATATTAACAACTTTTTAACAGGAGTGAACATTTATTGAGCTTTTAATCGAGTTTAACATTGAGAAAATTACGTGTTTTAATATGCATTATGTAATGGTTTCGAGTTCGTGACCATTTAATACGTCTTTATAGTTAGTATTGTTTATTATGAAAAATGTTTTAGCCCGAACAAAGGCTAAAGGGTCTTTAGAGGTTAGGCATAAGGAGCCTAGGTTTACAGCTGCCAAGGAAATTACTGAGCCATTATCATATTTGTTCCCCGACATACTTTGACCTAACAGTGAAATGACAATACCAGCCAGGTAAGAGTATTGAACATACGGGTCCTCACAACCCATTGGCGAAGAAGAACTTTACTTGTAATTTGACTGGGAATCGAACGGGATACCTTTCCTATAGTATACTTTATGTTTAAACAAAACAGGATATATTTGTCATCATTCAGCAATGAGGACATTATTAATTCTATTTAGATTAATAAATGAAATCACTTTAATAGGAATTGTCTGTTTCCAATTTACTAATGGTTATTAATAATGGAAGTATAGAAAAATATTTTGTTATATACACTTTTATTGTATTATAATTTATAAGAATAAAAAAATAAATAAAACAAAAAGCATATCTATATTAAAAAGGTTTTGTACCTTTATAGAAGATTTTAGGTTGTGCACATAATTATATATTTATAACATGTGCACACTATACATTATAAATGTGTAATTACATTGTTCAACGGGTCGCTAATAAGCGATGTTTTCTAGACAAAAACAATAATCTATGTTGAAATAACGTTATTTAAATACATTATTAAGCCTTTATTTCTGATACCCAGTATAATATATATAAATATTTATTTTAGGTATATATATAATCTAATACACCAAATGTTTGGGTGATCAGCGTGTCCTGTGACACATAGGCCTCTTCCAGCTGCTTCCATTATTTTCTAATGTTAGCTCATCTTGTCCAAGTTCCTCGGAGAGTTTATTGCCAGTTCTTCTCATCCGTTCTACGCCCTTGATTTGAGAACTGGCACTAAATGTAAAATTAGAAGCATTAATATGTATTTCTTTACTGAGTCATAAGTGTACAATGTGTTACCTAAATAATTAAATGATTTTTTTTTATTTATTTGGTCTGCTATCTCATATAAATATTAGATTTTTGAGGGTGTTGGTATTTAAGTCATAGATAACAATGAACTTTTCCGGTCCTGGGTTCGATTAGCATAGGAATAATTGTTTTAGGTATGTTGGCTGAGCACCATATATTATGATTCCTTGGGTAGTAATAGGGTCTTAGCTAAGTTGAACTCTCTGTTTAGTGATTGACTCTGTACACCAAAATATATTGGATTTGACAGACTGTACGTATGACGTATGCATGTTAATGATTTTTATTTTGAAGCATTCAATTCTACGAATTCGTCAGTTGAAGTTTTTCCTTCATTTCCTTCTTTTTGATACGTGGAAAAACATTGTCACACATGATTGGAAACGATAAATCTAGTTTGTAATCAAGTTAATAGATCAACCATCTACTAATATTGCAAAACCACAATATGTCGCCTTTTGATTATATTGTGGTCTCATTTGAATTGTCCAATTTGTTCAAATTTTATATATATATTAATATCTTTTCTAAATTTGTATTATGAAACTATGGAGTTTCTTGCTGGCAGTTTTGCCGAACTTTCCGAGCTACCAAATCAGTCGTGAAGCAGTCATTTTATGATTTGGCATTCTGATAAACAATAAACTACAAGCTCCCACCTTTTCAGAATGCCAAATCATAAAATGACTGCTTCACGACTGATTTGAGAGCGACCGCCACTGCGAAAACCGCAGTGTGAGTTCGAAAAGTGAGTTACAGAATCGCAGGGCTGGCTGAAAAAAGTTTATTTTTGAATTTGATTGTAAATATCCTTTATACAAAAAGACCTTGGTCCCCACCCAAAGCTGATAAATCTGCGCTTATCTCGGGAACTACTGGTATCCAACCAGTAGTTCTAAATATGTATGTATAAATAACATACAGATCATAAATGTTTTATTTGCTAACTCGTTTACACCGCAACATCATCGAGTCAGTGTTTGACGTCACAGGGGATTACCGTTTGGCAAAACATATCGAAACTGGTTAAATACGGAATTAATTTGGACTACGATACCTAGTTATTTCGTAACCAAAAGGTGGTTTTACGAGATGACGTACGGGCACGCCCAACTATGACGTACTATATTGGACAATACCGATTTTTAATTTGATTAAGAATTTTTTTTACTAAATATTGAAAACACAATTTAAATTACATTCTTAACTTACATAGTAATAATAATAATTAAAAATTAATAAATATAAATTTAAAGCAAATTTAAAAAGTTTGGTCCGTGTGGCAATGGACCTTGTAGTTTGTATTTCTTGGATGTGTAAGTTGCCAATAAATTTTCCTCTTCAGTTGGGCCCTTCCACTTTTAGCCTTTCCTCTTACTCACTGTTGTGTCTTCAAAATTTTATTTATATTTTGCTAATAGTTATAATTATATCTTATCTATTTTAAGAATTTCTTTATCACATTATGCATTCTGATTTTGTCTCCTAAAGGATGTGGAAATAGTATTAGAATTTAATATTTGCATGTTTCTAGTTGTACGATTTCATTGTATTGCCCGTTGGCCAACCTTTATTACATAAATAAAAGCTATTTAGAGTCTTGGCGTGCGACTTTCAACCATGCAGTTGTGTTTACGTCCCGGCTCTTCACCAAAGTGTTGTGGAAATATCGTTAGAAAGCCGGTTCGTCCTAGAACCAAAATTCAAGAAAAGGCAAAAGATTCGCCTACTTGTTTCTGTAAAAAGATGATAAAGAGAAGCAGTCTGAGGTCAAAATCCTTAGAAGGTTGTATCGCCACTGGATACGATTATTCCGGATGCTAAATAAGAATGATTTTCAATCAGTTCTAAATATGAATAATGCTTGAGACTGAGTTGAATTTAGGTTCAAATTTATGGATATTATTAATTTGATTTAATTCTACAATATTAATGATAAACAATTAATAATACATAATTTGCAAAATTCAAATCTAAGTATCCAGTATATATAGATTATCTGAGTTTGAGTATTCAGTATAATATCATCATATTTGAGATTCATTTTCAATACCTATATTTCTATTTCGACTCGACCCTTTTTTAGTATAAATCGCATTTCTTCATGGTTTTTTGTTCTTATAAAATTCTAATGTTTGAACTAATTTTAACCCAATAATATTTTAATTAAATTCCAAACAAAGCCTGGGAAAAGCTTTACAAACAATACTAATTAATAACACGCGAACGGTAACGGCCTGAATTATTTTTTACTAAGAGAAAAAATTATTCAAACCTTCAGACATGATCTGCATTCCATTGTTTTTTATTTAAGAAGAGACCTAAGTCCTACTATATCTGAAATGATTTCCATTGCTATTGCCAAACTAAATATAAGCTTTAAGTTTTAGCTATTCTAGGGGAAGCGCGTTATAGATGTATTTCTATCATAATTTTCTTTATGTCGTGGATTCTTCATGTCTGTACTCTTTATGTAGGCTTGAGGCGGGTTTCGAATATTTCAGATTAGTCTTTATTTTTTACAATTGTAATACAGTTAATGTGTTTCGATTCGTTTAGCTCAGGCCTGGTGCAATGTGCTCACGGACCTGTTGAACACGTGTTTAGTTCTTGCAGGAGGAAGTTCAATTCAAAATTCAAATTCAAATTCAAAAATCATTTATTCACGTAGGTAACACAATGTACACTTGTGATTCGTCATTAAAGAAATACATATTAATGCTTCTAATTTTACATTTACTGCCAGTTCTCAAATCAAGGGCGTAGAACGGAAGAGAAGAACTGGCAATAAACTCTCCGCCACTCTTTTTAATCGCCATGTTTTTTTTACACAACGTTTGTAAGGAGCTGCAACCATTACACCAGGAGGAAGAGTCAGTGGATTTAGGAAAAATATTCGAAGACCAATTTCTAATATAGTAAATATCATTTATTATTTTTAAGTAGAAAAAAATTTAGTTTGGGAAGGGAACCACTATTTTGTTTAGTGTTTTTAAATAGAAAATAAGTGCAACTCCCAAGAAAAAATTCTTTGTTAAAATACGTTTTCTAGTATAAA